TACTCTAGACTTCAAATGGCGCGGCGCATTCGATTAGATGTGCCCCGAGCTGACAGCCTGATCGAGGCTGCCCTTTTTTTATACTCACTTTCTTTTATTTCCCCCCCCTCCTCACTGCGACTGGGGAGCTGCTCACCAGAGAGAAGCACAACACCTTTTGTCACCTCACCTCCCGGATTCAGCTGTGGTGCAACAGGGCCCCCACAGGTGCGACGGGGTACCGCGTCCTCCTTTCTTCACTTGATGGTGGAGAGCAGACGACCGGTGTGGAAAAGTCCTAATTTCCTAACTGAAGAAGTAAAGACGTCCAACGAAAATGTTTTCAAAAATGTGAAATTAGCCCCTGCGGCGTGCATTTGTCTGATCAAATGGTCGTCGTGGCGCAGGGGTTAGAGAAGGTGTGCTGTGAAGCACAAGGTTGTTGGTTCGATTCCAGGCTGCCCCATGTTCCATGTCGAAGTGTCCCTGAGCAAGACACCTAACCCCTAATTGCTCCCCGGGCAAAAATGTAAAAAAAAGCCATGGGTTTAAAGTGTAATGTAAGTCGCTTTGGATAAAAGCGTCTGCTAAATGACCTGTAATGTAATGATCACCTTCTTGCTGCGTTCCATGAGAGTCTCAGTTTAAACAAGCAGACGTGTGAGTAGCACATTGATGCTACGTGTCCATGGCTTAGAAAGAACACATCTCACATTGAGGGATACGGTAATTAACAACAGACTGGAAGAACAAAAGACTTTAAGAGGTTTCTTCTTCTTCTTCTTCTTCTTGGTGAGGAACACGTTTGTCTTTGCGCCTTTAAATATGACAGAAAAAAATACGTATTCGGTTGAGTAATTTATCAGGTGGTGTCAAGACCTTGAGCCACACTGAAGACCTCTTTTTCCCAGGCGGCCATTTTGACTTGTCTTGACTTGACTTGAGGAAGTGAGGGTATAATGGCGTGTTTCCACCGAGCGGTACGGCACGGTACGGGTCGGGTCGGTACCCTTTTATTTGTGTCTCCACTGCCAAAAGTTGAGAATGGTTCCAAAAATCCAAACCGTACCGTAGCACTCATTGGGTACCCTTCTGTTTGGGCACCTGGCACAGTGGTTTGGTACTAGACTTGAGCTAGACTCACTGCAGAGCGTTGATTGGTTGAAAGAGTGTCGTCATTTGCGCGTGCCGCAAGGGGGAAGACAACACACGTAACACACCTGCAGCGTGTAGCCTTTGCTCAAACAAAGATTGTCGTCTCCTTGTGACAAACAGCCACATATGGAGAAGCAGGAACAGGATCAGCTGTACGTCCTCCATTGTTGTTTGCGGTTAGCTTTCAGTTTACGCGCGATCGAATGACGTCAATCTACTTTCCGTCATACACCACGCCTATCAAGTGACCTTATCACTACTTTCTCGAATACACCACCCCTATCAAGTAAGGGTACTGTTGGCGGTGGAAGCGCTCGCCAAATCATGGTTAACTGACCCAACCCACACTGTACCGCTCGGTGTAAACGCGCCATAACTAACCACACCGACCAGCGCTCTGCTCCATCCAGGTGTCTCGGTGAGGCAGCGGGAGCCGGGAACTAGCTTGCCGTTAATGACGACACCTGTAGAAACGCATCAGCTTTTACTCCAACTGGGAACCCGAAGCCAGAGACCACAGAATGCCCGTCTCTCCTCTCGGCGTGATCGCCAAAGCAAATGCTCCGCTTCCATAATCTGACCTGAGAAATGAAGGGCTGCTGAAGCCTGACTTTAGGCTATCAGAGCAGGAGAAAGCTTGTTCTAGACGGGTTGGAAAATCAGGCCTTATTCTAGACGGGCCTCCAAACTGGCTCCTCGCTTCTCCTGAGCGTGCACAGAAACAGGGGAAACCTCCCTGTAAAACACGGCAGTCTGGCTGTTTATGGCAGATATAACAGTGTTCTCGTAAAAAGGGAACAAATGGATTATTGAGGACTTTCCTAACGTTGCCTAAAGGAATTCACAGTATCAAGAACAAAACATCCGGTAACTATCAATATTTTAGAGCTGCCTTTTAGTAGCTGCATCATTTCAGGGTGAGGATAAAGCGCTCACGCATTTACTGTTGCCTCCTTATTCCTTTTCAATTCTTATTTCTGTGTTCCTTCGTTTTGCATTTTATTACATGTGCCATCCGAGGCCCACTGGGAGCAAAGTGATGGAGAACCTGAATGAGCCGCTTGTTTGCTCGCAGGTCTTTTGAGGAACCTTGCGGGGAGAAAGTGGCTCTTAGCTACACAATCGAAAGCAGGTGAAGCCGGAGGAAGGTTTCCATGCCAACACTGCGCCGTAACATCTTCAATTCACTTATTTTCCCTGTACTCCAGGAGATGTGTCCAAGGCCTCGGCGTGACGTGCCCGCCGGCAGCGAGACGCTCGGGTCCCGAGATGTAAAACAAGCGCTCCCTTCGGATCCGCCCCCGACTCGTGTTTACCTTGGTGGTTGTAAGCACAAAGTGTACACACTAATATATTTATAAGGCAGCACGTAGCAACCTTGAACTGCACACATGGGTGCACTCTTAAAGAGCACTTGATTATTCCTGCAAAGGTGCATCTTTGTTGCTGTGACACACACACATGGAATGGATAACGCTCGGTCACATGTGAGGCCCCCTTTTTTTATGGATGAAACGAGTGGATATATGTGTTTTTGATAGCTATTGACATTCGTTGACTTTGCACATTCAATTGAATTCTGAGGCCTCGTAATAAAAGATGCTACCGTGACTTTGCACACTACTTTGATTATATTCTATAAACCTATAAACCTTTGCGGTTATTGTGCATTTATTCTACATTCCAATTTCCACAGCGGGATCATTAAGTTTCACCATGATCCTTTTGAGCACAAAGAGATGTGTTATTTATGACAAACGGGCATTATTTAAAGGTGTTAAACCGGACGGCCAGCGGACCTGAGATGAAGTGAGGAGATGCTGCCATCTAGTGCTTCACTTAACCGTTTGTTTTAAAGACAGAGCTCTAGTAAATCCTGACCGATATGAATCTGCACAGCACATTCGTGCCTTTTGAAGTGCGCCAAAGACACAATTTGAGATTAGAAGCTATCTCTGACCGGAGCTTAATCATTTTCAACGTTTGGTAGAATATGCTCGGCGCCAATTAGCCAGCCACGCCACAGGGGACCGATCACATTTCACTCCTCTCAAACAGGAACGACGTCCCGGCACGGCGTCAAAACTCCTGATGCGCGGGAGGCCCTTTCATCCGATCACATGCTGACTGAAGAATAAGTTGCTCTTTGCTGGGGTGACACTTCTAATTACATATAGCTGCAGGGATCGGCAGGCTCTGCCTCTTTCAAGCAGTCCTAATGGCTCATTAATTCTATTGTAGCCTGGAGTTGATATTTGAGCACCCTGTTCAAAAGTATTTTATCCTCTTTCCGCAATTTATCACCATGTCCAGCTACACGGTGTCCAAAAATGGGTTCAAACGGGCCTACAATGAATATTTTCTGTACAGTGGCATATGCATAAACAGCATCTCTGGAGTGCAAACAACGAATTCTTCATATATATTGATTAGTAGACATGACAGTGGGCATGCCACCAAAACAGGAGCAGAAGCAACCGTTTAACCAATTATTAAAAATGGCCCTGCTTGGTGCTGTGATTTTTTGCTCGTCCTTTAACAACGTAGACATCACTGGTCAAGCAGTGTCACAATCACAGATTGATCTTCATACATGAAGTCTATAAAAACAGTTTCGGTTATAGTTTGTTGATACTGCAGACGGGTATTTCTAATGTTGAGCGGATGCTCGAGTCTTGAGTGCTTCCAACAGTCTTTAAGTATAAATGTTTTGGTAAAGTCTTCCCCTTACAGCATTCCACAGACATTCTACAAACCGATGTAATTGGAAGAAAAGAAAACCAAAAGACATAGCTTGGACAAAAGAACACATTTATTTGCAGTGCTAAATTATCCCATCTTGGCCAGGCTGACAGAAATCACTGGACCATCTGAGGATGTGACATTTAGTCCAGCTGTGAAAAGAAAAGGATGCAAAGAATTAGTTACGATAACATAAAGTCAGCCTCGTCGGACATACTCTTCCAACCACTGGAGTCAGCTCTCCTGGGATGCTCAAACCACGCAAGGATGCGCTTCTCCAGTAGACATGATGATGATGGGACAGAAAGGAAACGAGTACTTGCCTTGACGAAGCCGATGTCTTTAGCGTACTGCCTGAAGCACTGGCGGCACATGTTGAGCCCGTATTTACGGATCAGACCGTGTCTGTTCGAGCACACCCGGCTGAAATAGAGAGACGGGTTAAAACGTGGGAAAGTGTCAAATGTGGGTAAAATTACTAGACTTCTATACGCACTAACGTTACGACGGCGGAAGCTCACGGCTAGCACTGAGCACAGCGACGCTAGCTCGCCCGGCTAACGATGTTGTTAGAAAACATTAAAGCCAACTCCGGAACGCCCGTCTGGACATTTTATTTTCTGCTTTCTGGTGATTCAACGTGACCCATTTCCAACGGGGGAAATCAGCGAGCGGCTAACTGAAGCTAGCCTTGTTAGCACGGCCCAGCCGCCACCGCCATATTGGCTAAGGGGCAGCGTCCACGCGGTGGACAATAGCTGATAAATTCTGAAGTTCGGGGATTCGCGTACACTATAAAACCGATCGGCTTTCGCACACGTATCGATAACGGACCAATTTGAGGCAGAACTGACCAGGATCGGGATCCCTGGCCGAATTTTCGGGGATGACTCCAGTAGAGCTGCTGGTGGCCCATCTTGTCTCTTTCGCTCGAGTGTCGGAAAGGAAGACAGAAGGTTGCGCGTGCGCAGATGAAACCCTCGTATGCCGCGTTTCCGGTTTCGGAGCGTCTGCGTGGCGCCACCTGGCGGGCAAAGCGACTGCGACACGCGGCGCGGCGGCCTGGAGGTGGCGTTACAGCCGCTAACGTTACACGGAGGTTATCAACGAGAGATGAAAAGAGGGATTTAAATCGACAGGAATGTGAGGCTTATAATAAGGAAGCTGTTCGTAAACAAATGGGTTAAGTGGATCAACAAAAGGCGTGCACGGGGAGAAAGGTTGAATATGAGAAAAATATTGATGAAATATAAGAATATATCCAACTTCAACACGGTGTAGAGAAAACGTACTATTTAGGTGGACGTCTCATTTAAATTTTAAATTTAAATTTAATATAACACATAATGGTACATATATATACAAACACAGCACCATAAATGGGGTACCTGGTGCCCCCGCCCCCCTCTGCACCAGTGCATTGTGGGACGACTGCAGGCAGTGGTTCCGTATTCGGGATATTAACGCTACTCCCTTTTTATTTTATTTTTTACAGCTAACGCTAGCCGACGTTTCCGTGCAGCCTGCGTGACGGCGCGGAGGGGAACGGGCCGCCGCCGGACGGATGCTTCTCGGTGAACGGACCGCGCGGCCGCTGCAGTTCTCGGTGAGTAGAGTGTGGGGGGACGCGGTGGTCCCGGTTCTCCGTGGACCCCAACACCCCCCCACCCCCGTGGTTTGGACAGGTTCGGTTTGGTTCGGTTCGGTCCGGGCCGCCCGGATGTGGAAGGGAGGGAGCTAGCCTTAGCCGTTGCTAACGTACCGTTAGCTTCCCCGCGGAGATGCTCGCTGTCACAACCGAACGAAGCTGAACTGTTGTTGTTTGTTTTTGTCACTTATCACTTCGTGAGACTAACGATCAGGCTGCGTAGTGAATAATCGATCAAAGGTGTATCGACCCCCCCCCCCTCCCCCCACCACCCCCATTAAAAACTAGCGGTAAATAGACCGTACGACGCCCTGCACGTCCGCACGAGAGCATAATAACAGACGCGGGGGTGAAAAGTGCAGACGAGACGTCTCTCTTCCTTCGGGCATCACTGAAGCTGGTTCCTAACGACGCATATGAGCTCAGGCTGCACATCGATGCCAGGATCTACTCATGAATGGGTCAGGTAGTAAACAAGCAGACCACTCATTTAATCACAGATCCCAGGATTGAGGGCTGATCGATATTCATGCGGAGGGAAATATAGAAGCACGGAGCAATAATGATCATCAATGACACAACTAAGGAGTAAGTGAGGAAAAAGCAGCAGTCTGCTCGAAATCACCGTTTCTTGTGGCTTCTATTCCAGCTCATGTTGATACACAGAAACACGTTTATATGCTGTTCAGGGGTTTGGTTCAGATTGAAGTTTCACAAAATGAACTATTTGATTTTTCTCCTCCGGTCTGTCGCTCAGCTCTCTGCCGCATCGCCACATCTTCATTGGCTCCTGGAATGATTAGTTGATTATTTGATTAGTTAAAACCCGGGGAATGAGTCAATAACACATTTGATAATCGGCTAATTGTGTAATTGGTTTGCTAGAGTTCCAGCTGAAAAATGAGTATTTTATTATTTCCTCTGTCATGGGCTTGTTTTGCATACATGTTGTGGTCATTATGATTGTGATCGTGTTTACATCTTTATCTGATGCGATGCACCTGTTGCTTTTATTTATTTCCCACTCAGGTGGTACATGCACGCTGCTACCCTGCTGCCTCCCGGCAACCGTCATGCCTTATGGAATACTCACCCACCGCCAATGACATTCCAGCTGGATGTCTCATGTTTACAGTTAATTTCCCCCAAAAATAGCCTCATATCAGCTCGCTTTCAACCGGGCTTGCTCCCTCTGCAAAGCGCACGATCATAGTTGCGAAACCTGCGCTCGTTGTGTCACAACAACCAACGTCTCTCCCTCCGCAAGGGGTCCTCGATCATCCTATCATGAGATTCCGAATCTACAAGAGGAAGGTGGTGATACTGACCGTGGTGGTTGTCATCTGTGGCCTCGCTTTCTGGAGCAGCGGGAGGCAGAAGAAGAACGACAGCGGTTCGTTCCCAAAGGAGGCCGAGGGGGCGCGGCGCGGCGGCAGCAGCGTCGTCACCGGCAGCAGCAGCGTCAACGATCACGTCCAGGTGCCGGCCACACCGGCCGTCAGCAGGGCACCGGCTCCGCCCCCGGCTATACAAGCGAATGACACGCGCCAGGAGAGAGCCAAGGTCAAAGAGAAGATACCCAAACCAGAGGTCGACAACACCACTTTAGTCTACCGGGGCATCGTCTTCCAGCTCAACTTTGACCAGACGATAAGAAATGAGGAAAAGTTCAAGGCGGCGCGACGGAAGGACGACCTGGTCGTGGTGGTTCAGGTCCATAACCGACCCGACTACCTGAAGCTCTTGGTGGACAGCCTGCGGAAGGCCAGAGGCGTGGAGAGCATACTGCTGATATTCAGCCACGACTACTGGTCCCCCGAGATAAACAAAGTGGTGGCCTCTGTTGACTTTTGTCAGGTACTCCAGATCTTCTTCCCCTTCAGCGTTCAGCTGTACCCCCAGGAGTTCCCCGGACACGACCCCAACGACTGCCCCAGAGACATTCCCAAAAACGACGCCTTAAAGCTGGGATGCATCAACGCCGAGTACCCCGACTCATTCGGCCACTACCGCGAGGCCAAGTTCTCCCAGACCAAGCACCACTGGTGGTGGAAGCTGCACTTTGTGTGGGACAGAGTCCGGGTCCTGGAGCAGCACAGGGGCCTGGTGCTGCTGATCGAGGAGGACCACTACATGGCCCCGGACTTCATCCATCTGCTTAAGCTGATGTCGGCTCTCAAGAGGGAGCAGTTCGCCGACTGCGACGTCCTCTCGCTGGGGAGCTACAGCCACGTCGGCTACTCCAGCAAAGCCAACAAGGTGGAGGTGAAGGCCTGGAAGTCCACCGAGCACAACATGGGGATGGCTCTGAGTCGGGAGACCTACCAGAAGCTCATCGGCTGCACCGACACGTTCTGCACCTACGACGACTACAACTGGGACTGGTCCCTGCAGCACCTGACCGTGGCCTGCCTGCCCTCCTACTGGAAGGTGATGGTGAGCGAGGCGCCGCGGGTTTTCCACGCCGGCGACTGCGGGATGCACCACAAGAAGGTGGCGTGCATGCCCAACAGCCAGAAGACCAAGATCGAAAACGTCCTGCAGTCCAGCGGGAACCAGCTGTTCCCAAAGAACCTGCTGATAGCAAAGAGACTGCCGGCCAACGGCGCCGGGGGCGTGGCCCCGCATGTGAAGAACGGGGGCTGGGGAGATATCAGGGACCATGAACTCTGCAAGAGTTATGTTCGAATACAGTGACCTTAATTGATACTATTCCATATTATTGTCTCTTTTGCATCCTCTTTAAAGAAAAATCCGCCTTTTAAAAGCATCTCTTTATGGACTATTCTTCATGTTGCCTGTTTTATTGGACTGCTCCAAATAAAGACGAATGTTGGATTTCTGGCTTCTTTAACACAATTATGTCCTCACATTGAGTTATTTAAGTATCCCCTGTGTTGTTGTAAGTACCGACAATCATATACTAAACCGTTTTCTCTGCCAAAGCGTTCGTATTTGTTTCTTTTGAACAAAAATGACTCAAACGTGTAGAACATTTGCAGAAGCTGGCACGTGCTCGTCAGAGCAGCGATGGATTTGGTGAATCTGTGGATTTAGCCATCGAGCGCTGCATTCATACGTAGCTGCAAGATATTTATAACACAGAAATTTGCCGAGATCAAAGGAGATCCCTTGAGACACTTGGTTCCATTTAAATAATCCCCCCACCTTATTTTCAACAGGGTCCCAGAGCCTCATTACTCCCCACTTCAGGTAGAAACATAAGCGTAGTGGGGAAGGTGAGGAGAGGAAGCCGCGGCCCAACAAAAGCCTCGTCTGCTCACAGATGCGTGAAGTCTTAATTGTTAATGCGGTGCGAAGACATGTGCCTGGGGTCATGTGACGCGTTGTGCAGCTGCTCCCGCGGCGGAGGGCCAAATAATTGGGCCCGCGCCTCGAGGGGAAGGGGCCCGGAATAGAATCGGGCACGGGGAGAACGCAGCGCTGTGCTCCCGATTCTCTGTGACTAACGGTTGACGGCGCCGGCGGATGTCTGAGGGCGAGAAGAAAACGGAAGAAACGCTGAAGTTGAGCGTGAAATCTTTTAGTGGCCCAGTTATGTGTGCGATCAATAGCTCATAACTCGAGGCCACGTGGTTGTAATCATTCCTCTGAATTGGATTCGTAGCTGTGGAATAAAAGCCTGTTTTAATAACACAATTGAGGACGTGTCAAAGTGCACATTCACTGAAGCGTTCTCTTTGGAGATTTAAAGATGAACCTCAAAATTGCCCACTTTACAATTCCCGTTGGCTGCATGGAGTGTTTTGATGTCTTTCAGCTACGCGGTTTTGTTCTCATTGTGGACTGGAAGCTATTAGCGGAAAAAAGCTAACCGCTAACCTGCAGACGGACGTAGATGCTAACGAGAGTGCGCAGTATTATGTTTTGTTCAGGTGGTGGAACCCAAAAACCGAGCTAAAAGGAGAGTTACCGTCAGGCATTTGATCGGCTACACGTGCTCATTGCGCTACGACGGGTCAAAACGGCCACTTTGTGAAGCGTATTTTTGAGTATGAACGGACGAGGTGCTTCGCCCACAATTACCAAACCCCCACCCGGAGGCCAAGCTCCCCACCTGCCACACGTCAACACGGTCTCAGTGGACTAGATACGGATCCCCGTGGAAAAATAGAGCAAGTGGTTCATTTCACTAATCTCTGATCGACGTCTCAAAGCCTCAGCTTTCTGCAGCGCATCGACTGCTGCTCGTCCTTCGGGCCCAAGCGTCTCGTAGAGGCCGTATTAATCACTCATAGCCGTTGCACACATCTCCAGGTACACAAAGCTCTGGGTCAATACACGGAGGCGCGCCGACAAGGGAACAGCATCACTGAGAAAACCATCAAAGCAGAAACCTTCCAGAAGTCTGAGGATTCCCTCTCAATTCATTGACTTCCAACCAAGTGGGAACTATTTATCCCCCCCGCGAGGGCGCAAGATAAATGGAGTTCTTTTCCAATGCTCCGAGCTTTTGATTGCCATTTAGAGTGTGTGTGAGGAGCGAACGTTCTAGAGACAGACACATGATCTCACTGAGCTCTAATCCTGACTGATACCTGCTCAGCATCCGTCCGACTGGCCGATCGGGCCCCTCCAGCCCGACGCCACTGGCTGGCGGTTTAATGGCTGCGAGCACTCGTGTTTCTTCTAAAAGTGACTCGTAAATTATGGAGGAGCGGTTTTATTCCCCACTTGGAATATCAAATATACATGAAGCGGTCAGGTGAAGCATTAGGAATACATTTGTGTGGAGAGAGAGAGCGAACAGGTAGTGGGACGTAGACAATGGTTGGTGCATACAAAGTGATGGTTGCTGTTAGAGCAAGTTCTCTCACTGGACTGAGTGACGCTGCCCCCTGCTGGCGAGCTGCACCCGAGCAGCCAGAGAACAGGTCACAGGGACACATGGCACCGTGTGTGGAAGAGGAGGAACAAAGCTCAAATCCACAGCTCTGCTCACAACCCCCTGCTGTGACATTTGTATAAATGTTAATGTCAACGTACATTGTAATTCCCAAACAGAGCTCCACCCAAACACACTTTAAAAAGAGGTCCGATACACATGAATCAGCAGACACGTGCGTGAGGGAGCAGGCTCGGAGTCCATATTCAGTATGCCAGAAAAAAAAAATTCCCAATCGCATACGCTTTTACTACATCCTGCTGCCCTGTATGCCTTCGACTGGCATGACAGCTTAAACTTTAACCCCCATGGGACTTTATATTGAGTGTATTAAATGCAGTACGCCAAAAATACCAGGATGTCACGCTGCATCTTGCATGTATGTTGTCACACGTGAGCCACAGGGTTCAATGTTCCAGGCTGTCCAGCTAACAAAGACACGGATCCAAACGGCCAATAAAAGTCACACAAACGGAACATGTAATCTGTCAAAGCTGTTTTAATAGGCGTCACATGGGGGGGGGGGAAGCTCCCACTGTTAATATCCTCAGTCTTGCTATTTGGGTGTTTGAAATAAAGAACAAAAAGAAAAAAACTCAAGCACGCACGCCCTCGGGTGCCGACGTCAGTCGGTTGTTGTTTTTTAACACAGTGTCAAATGTTTGTTCGGCATCGGTTTCAGTAACTTACTCACAAAAAGTCTCAAACAGATCGCAGCCCCGTCTGCAGCACATGGTCGTCGGCCTTATTAGTTGTTACAGTGAATTTCACACACATGTTGGTGGATGGAAGTAGTGGGTGGGGGGAGGGTGGGAGTGGGTGGGGGGGGGGCAGCGTAAATTCTTCCTGTGGTTTACCTGAGCTCGGAGTGATGGCTGAATTAGACGGCTGCACCTGCGCCTGCCTGCCTACGTTGTAGAAGGAATATCTGCAGCATTCAGCACTCCCTGTTATTTAAGAGGACTTCATAGCTGTCTCCTATACCAAACGTTTCATTAATAAAAATACACCTGAATTCTCTTTATGTACAACAAAAGAAACATGTTCACCTGCATATTCAAGGTTCATTTAATATTAGGTATAGATCTTCTGTATTAGAAATATCACTATTTTCTGAAATAAGGATCTTTGAACTAATGTAATAATGATCATCATTTCACCCATAAATCATTGTGGTACAATATTTACATATATTACAGAGCCCATTTAATCGGAAACAATATTAAAATAAATGTTCAATAGATACAAAGGTTTCTTTTTAAATTCTATTTATATATTTCAACCTTGTCAAGGAGTCCTTACACACTCCAAAAAATGTAAAGCCATTCTCCTCTAACAAACTACTAAGTGCAAACAATTTTTTTTTCCATATAAAAAACTATGATTGCAGCATCCAGCGTTGAGACAGAGGGCAACAGGAAGCCGTTTCCACAAGTGCTTCCAAAGCAGTCTTCAAAATATTTTGCCTGTGTGCCGCAGCCGTGAAATTTTTTCGTTTTCAAAATGGAGAAAAACAAAAGCAACAAGGAAAGAAAAATTTGTGCAAATACACTTTAAAGTGTGATTCTAATGATTAAAACATTTCCAAAGGAAGTGAAACGCTCCGTTTCTCTTTAACGGGCGTCGAGTACTCGGGCTGCTCAAGAGATCGCCCAGGAAGTGAGAAATGAAAGAGTTGTGGCTGCTGCTCCGAAACAATCCAATCCCCCCCCCCCCTTTTCTTTCCACGTGAATACCTTTGAAGAAACAAAATATAGGAGAAATCTCCAAATTAAACCCACACAAAAAAAGGTTAGTGCTGAGGCATCGGCACAATGCTTACAGCAGGTCTAGTCATTAGAGATCTACAGGCACAAAGGGTTGGGTACTAGAGTTTGCTATTTTCAGACTAGACACGACTTGATATGACCACACATGGTACGATGAGCCAGCAAGTCCCCCCCCCCCCGCCCCTCCATAATACCTCCTGGGTGATTTAAAGCTTGCCATCTTACTTCCAATAGCACCCTTTTTTCACGGCCAGCCAACATGGGCTGAGCACGAGCAGTAACACAGAAAGCGGGGTGGGGGGATGGGGGGGGGAGAGAGAGAGCGTCTGGATGCTTGTCGCGAGGAGAATGACGGGGACGCTGGAGGTCATGTGGTGTGTGACAGCTATGTGCTGAAGCGCTGCAGGACCGTGGCCTCGGTCGTCCCCGTCTCTGTTGCATGGAGCTGTCATTAGCAGCACCAGCACTGGGGCTATACTACTGTTCCACTGGGGGAGTTGCCCGGGTTGTTTTGAGATGATAGCAAACCCTGTGGAGAGACAGATAACACACATTGATAACAAACAACGGTGTTACTCAAATGTATTGGAGAAAAGAAAGAAAAAAAAAAAAAGGACAAAAGAAAACTGCAGAATAGTGAGGTGGTGAAGTTTTACCGACGGAGGACAAATGTGCTATTAACCATTGAAATGCTGGGAGGGCTTAGCGTAAATCTGGTAATGAAATAACCAAAACCTTTGGCCGCACCGAGTGGCAATAACTGCTCTCTGAGCGCTGCGAGACAACGTAAAGTTAAGAGGCGTCACATGACAGTGTCCTCGAGGGGCCCGTCACTCACCACTTTCCCGGGCCTAGCCCATGTGCAAACGAAACCCTCCTGACAGGCTGTTACCAGACAGTCCTCAAGGAAGATTAACACAGTGAGTCTCTCGTGAGCGATCTTCTTGCACACCAGCGGCTCGAGCAGCGGCACGTCCTCCATGCGCGGGCACAGCGTGGTGCCCAGAGTCTTGGCGGCCTCGGCCTTCGCCGTCCGCGTGGAGCTCAGCTGGTTGAGCTTGTCGCTGCTCTTGCTGCTGATGTGACCCATGCTGTGGTTGCGCTTGTGGTCCTTCTCGTGGCGCTCCTTGCGCGACTCGTGCAGCGACAGAGTCGCGAACTTGCTGACGCCGGTGGCGATGAACGCGATGGGGGTGGGGGTGGGGGTGGCGGCGGCGTTGGTAGTGGGGCTGCTGTTGCTGCCTGTGTGGCTGTTGGGGGTGCTGCCCCCTGTTGGGTTGGAGGAGTGTGGCAAGCTGTTGGACCGAGGCAGGGCGCTGGGGAGGGAGTTGGGCGGGTTGCTGCTGGCGCTCGTATTGTCTTTAACAGTGGCGCCACCGGGATTAGTGGCGAGCACGGCAGCGGTCGCAGCAGTAGTAGTCAAAGTCGTGGTCGTTGTCGTCGTATTAGTAGCAGTAGTTTGTCCGGTGGCTGGAGGGCTCGTGGCACTCATGACATTAGTGTGAGTCCTAGTGCGGGACAAAGGGAGGTGAGGGAAAAGAATGTCCTCCGTCAGGTCCCACAGACACAGCTGGGTGTCCTGGCCCACCGAGCCGAACCTGTAGGTCACGCTGACGGGCCTGCTGTCCGTGGAGTTCCTCTTGGAGAGCCGCGAGTGCGCGCTGTTCGCTCTGTCCCGGCCCGCGCCGAAGTGAATCTGCTCGTGGAATTCCTCGTCGCTGCCGCTGAACTCGGCGGGGGGGTCGCCGTCCTCCACGCTGGTGGTGCAGTGGTCGAACGCCACCACGCTCACCCACGACTTGTGGCCGTGGCCCCGCGCGATCACCCGGCAGTCGGAGAAGGACCAGACCGTCACCAGGTCGTCCTCCCCGCCCGCCACGATGTACCGCCCGTCCGGGCTCCAGCACACGCACAGCAGCCCGCCGAAGTAGCTCTTCATCGTCCCGTGGAGCTCGGCCGCGTCGAAGCCGAACACCCGCAGGAAGCCGTCCTGGCTCGCAGACGCCAGAAACTTGCCGTCCGGCGAGAAGGCGAACTCATTGAGCGCCCCTTCGCCCACCGTCCAGCGCAGCAGCGGGTTGCGGGCCGACTTGCTCTTGCAGGTGTGCACGGCGTAGTTTTCCCCCTGCTTCAGCAGCTGGTAGTGAGGCGCCGTGGTGCCGCAGGTGTTCTCCACGTTGTACAGATACATGCTGCCACTGGAGTGAGCGACCAGGAACAAGCTCTCCGAGCCCGGGACCCATCGCACACACGTCACTCGGGACTTGTCTATGAGTCTCTGGAGGGAGAAAAATAGAGCAAACAAAACAAAGAGGTCAGCTAAGTTCTTTGAGTCGGCCTCGGCATCAGAACGTCGGAGCGCTGAAAGGAAAACCCACCTCCTCGTTGAACAGTTTGCTCGTCTCCTTCTTTATCGGGTCGATGAGCTGCACCTGGCCGGCGGAGAAGCCCACCAGCAGGGAGACGCTCTCCGCCGTAGCCGTGATGGGGTTGAAGTCATGGCACGTGGGCTGCGTTCCTTTGTATATCCTCTTGTCTATTGGCTTACTGAGATCAGCAGCCTAGAAACAATGACAAATGCACGCGAATGAGGGAAAGCCGCTCCGAGTGCTGCTCAGAAAGGATAAACAGCTGTGAATGTGAAGGACACTCACTGCGGTACTTACTACTTTGTTTATAATAACTAGACATCAGATCAGTACCGCTCCTCTTTGGGAGACCTGATACTTAACTCCACAAAAGGAGCGCTTTTCATTATTGTTTATCTCTAGTTACAAACATTTTTATTGTCATTGAAGAGTGACACAATGTATTTAGACGTCGGTCGCAGTAAAGAACACCAAGTCTGGGAATTTCATTTGATTTGCTCAACCAACAAATAAACCTGTAGTCTACAGAAAAACAACCCGTTTCATAAACTCATATCTCTCAACCTGCTGGAGACAAATCTCCTGAGTGCATACAGGGCTGCCACCCAGTGTTTGTTGGTGTCTACAAAGTCACAAGTGTTCCTTGGTGCATGATAATGATGCACCGTGACACATGGACAGTCATTATCCAAAAATAGCGAGAGCGAGCAGCTCAGCCATACCATATAGATTAACCGTTTGTCTCCCAACAGAACACAACTCAGCTGAAATCAAACATGAGAAGATGAAATGTGATATACAAGCCAACTATTGTCCCACACCACGTGACACAAGTTTGAATCGAGTTACTTTTAAACAGATTGACATTGTTACAACACCAAACCAAATCATCAGGCATCCTAAAAAGGAGAATGATCTATAGCCTGAATGAAAGTGACTGCTAAACTGGCAGGAACGTATTTGGCATCGAATCAGCAAAAATTATGATATTTGAAATGGATTTATGTTTGTTATTGGCAGAAACCCCCATGTGGTTAGAGAGTTGTGTTAATGCATTAAACAGGAGGTAGAGAGAAAGCTTAAGGGATGTATTTTAAAATGCTGTCAGTGGTGTCAAAGTGAGGACATTCGGCACAGCTTAACATTTAAAGTGCTACAATCATGATGATAAGCTACCAAAAAAAACGTTACACAGTAATGAGACTTCATTAAAAACAATGAAATAGGTTGTATCACACCACTGGCTGTTTGACAGCATCGTTTGTGTAGTTCCATTCAGAGGGGGAAGTGATTCTTACATTACAATTATGGGCAAAACACATTATGAAAAAATAGACAGGAAGAGGCCAGCTTAAAGAGACAAGCGATCTTTCCGGTGTATTGAGATCAGGTAACTTAAATAATCTGCGTTAACAATCGAGACTTCTTATACTTCTCCGAATTTCATCAGCAACAAATACTCGTCTCATATTTTCAGCAGACTTTTAGAGCTGCCGTTAGAGATCATGCCAAATACATTATCATATTCCATTACACCCTTACTTTTTGTCAAACTACCCATTGGAAAATATTTCAAGGGAAGGACGGTACTGTAATAAGACTTGTGCCTGTTTTAAAAGCTAAAGTTGGAAAGCGTATCGGGACTTTTTTGGCACATTCCAAAATAAGGCACCCTTTTAGCTGGGTTAACTGAAAAAAAGCAACTTCCTCTGGTTGTTTTTAGGGTGCTGTGAGATGGTCGGGCTCCACTGGGGGTGGATAAATAGCAGCGGGGAGGTTCGGCTGTCTATCTAGTATTGTGTAGCGGCTTCGGGGACACCCACAGGACCACTGTCCCGGTCCCCAACCTTCCCAAACGTGTCCTGCTGCAGTGACATCACCACTGACTCTGTGCAACCGAACAGAGGGTCATATTGTATTACATCACACCCAAACCCCAACAACGGACACACACACACACACACACACACACACACACCACTGCATCACGGATAACAAACAGCCCCCTCACTACCATCCTGCAGTGGCGGTTACAGCTCGGGGCGCGTAGTGCTGCGACACCGCGGTTGACCCTGCTGGTGAGCGCTGTTGACACCTTGTCACCCGCCGTATGGCGTTAAGAGGACCGGGGATAAACAAACGCCTCACACGACATGACAAGGCTTTTCCTCAAGTTATCCCCCCTCGCCGGGGAAATAAAATGTCGCAGCTGAACGCAGACGGAGCGCTCGAATAAAAAAAACAACAACAAAAAACCTGGCGGACTTTAAAGCGCACGCGGGTCAAATAAGAGGCAACGCAAAACATCAACTGTGGCGATGTTAGCTGGGATGCTAATTAGCCACTAACTTAGCTAAGGTCTGCAACATGGCCTCGTCTTGACAACCTGCGCACTTCAATGACAGAAGCTGAGAGAGTTGACAGCCACGGTGCGACACGTCTGAGGGCGCCGAACCAACGGGCAGCTCGCGGACAGCGCGGGCTTCGTCCCCGCGGTCCATATTGTTTACCTTTCTCACGCCTTTGTAGATATAAAAGTAGAGTTCCCGGCCCACATTGAAACAGATCCTGTCGCCGTTGCCGGACTGGTCGTTTACATTGACGAAGGAGACCTTGACGGGATTGGAGCCCTGCGAGTTGAAAGGCACCCTGTTCGGGCGGCTGTATTCGGAGTGAGTGAGGAGTTTGTAGACACCTTCTCGTGTGGTGAATTGAGTTTTAATTTCGTTCATCTCCTTCCCTCCTCCCTCCGCCGCCATCTTGGAAATTGGCGTTCATCCTTGTCCGAACCCCGGATGTTACAGACTGCGCATGCGTTGAGCCGTTGGACCTGCGGCCACGCGTAGAGAGGTGTATATAGTCACGTGAGGTAAACCCGCGATAAATAAACAGTTCATATTAGTGTATAAACCGGCTGCAAACGGCTCCAAGCGCAAAATATAGGCTAATTATGTACAAATAATACACCGCATTGACATACTGTTCATTTAAAGTCGTCTCTTACTAAAAAGCAATGAAAAGCTAAGCAGCTGTAATCACATAATAACACACATCAGGATTATTTGAAAGTTACTAATGCAGATACCATTATTTTATTTAATGGTATCTGCATTAGTAACTTCTAATATAACGTTGCAGTTGGATTGGATATTTAAACAACCAGTTTCTACAAATAACCATCTTTTCAAAGAACCAAATATATATTTAAAAAACAATTCAGCATGCTGTTAGTTGAAATAAAGAAATTCTTGTAGACCGAGAAAAGCAGACACTCGTAACCAGACTGAGATTGACTTTGCAGTAAATTCATTTTACAAAATAAGGAAATTATAAATTCCCTTCAGTATCTACTGGGCATCCAGCTCTCCCAAAACATTGGATATGTGATTGCATCATTTCTGCATGGTTCTCAGTTACAGAGCGGCTTCTAGACAAGTGTGGAAGCATTTTTATTACGTAATAGATCTGTAGCAAATGAAATATAGTGACATCCACTGGCCAACTGAAGAAACTTACACCCACACAAGACCAGATTGTTCTAGACTTCTAGAAATGTTGTGTTAACTGTGAAGTCTCCTGTTTGAAAACCTGTTTAAGGTGAATTGTAAATGTTATTTGGGGGGCTGAGGGTACTGTAGTGAGCCTTTCTCTTTTGGCTCTGATAGATCTAGTCAACATGCTGTTTTGTCAATTTAATAATCATAAATATGAATAATTACGATATCATGTGGAGTATCTCATGAATTCCAGAAGCCAAGTATCACAAGTGCAAGAGGTTTTACTTTTTACTTGTTTTTCTAGTCATGTTTACCTTGAGAAACCTGAAAAATACTGAATGAACATTAAATCATGTCATTATAATGAATCAATTAGCCACAATGCACGCATGTCAAAGCCCAGGACAGGGACTACATTGCTGAACTCATAATTCCCAAATCCCCTACATACTGTCTTTGTTTTGCAGGCAGAACAACGGCATCTTATCACAACTAATGAAAGTTTGCAATTGTTGCCGGTAACCTCATCACGCTAGGGTGTCTGATTGTGTTTCCACAGTCCGTCTGGTGATGAATCTCAACACGTGCTGTGGCTGAAAATTATGGAAATGACATTGTGTTGTGCTAAGAATTTAGTTTTACTGTGAAACCTTTAAGATTTCTCCCAGTCTTGCAAGCCATAAAAAGAAACGGGCCTGCTGTCTTCGGCAGGGCCTGTGGTATGTCGATGGCAGCTGATAGCAAAATCACTGCACAGCTGTGACGCTTTGGGGGGGTATGGGGCCTAAGAGCTGGACAAGCTATCAGGAAAGCGCTCCATTTGAGTGACAGTCACTTCTTGTGACTCTGCAGCCCCTACAAGGGCACGTCAAACTTAGGGCTCTGGTGTCCCCCTCGCCAACACCCCCCTGAACGTAGTGAACGTATCTTCTGGAAGCTTCTGAATGGAAGCTTCCAGAACCCCTCCCAAGGTATAAAAAGACCAGCATGGCGTGGGGGTCTGCGTAGATTCACTTCAACACACCGAAAGAGACTTACTGCCTACGGGAGGAGAAGAGAAGCACACACTTGGAGCTCGTCAGAAAGAGAGAACAAGTTCAGCGATACATTTCAATACTATCGTCAGGAGGCAACGAAAAGAACATTCAAGGTAAGACTGAAGAAGTTTTATTATATTAATTATAGAGTACAAATGCTGGCTGCAAATTAAAATCCATGAAAAATTCACTGACAAATTGTACATAACATAGGAAAATAATAAGTTATGCTAAAAAAGTCAGTCATTTGCAGTGTCGGCAGACTGGCCCCTTTACCATTAGTATCATGTTGAGGTTGTAACCTGCAGAGAACACATGGCAAGCAGGGTGACCCTGGGTGTGAACGTAATGGCGGAGCAGCAGAAAAGACGGTTATCGCACAAAGAGCAGATACTGCATGTTTCACGTTTTAGTGCAAAAGTGTTTTAAAAATATTGAAAAAGTAAGAACCATGTTTTAATTTAATGAAATCACTAAGATGGAAACTTTGTATGTTATAATATAATTCTGAATACCAATTAAAACTGTATTAATGTTCGTACAAGGCAGAATCCTTTTCTTCTGAATGCAAATGCCTCACTCATGAAAACAGATTATTCCTCTATGGTTAAAACCACTTCCATCTTCAAATCTTTTCCTTCAACTTAAAAGGTGTTGAGTGACACATGGTGGATGCTTTGGGGGGTTGGGCAAAGCATCCCAACTCCACCCATTCGACAAATGGCAAGCCTTTGATTGACAGGAGCAACATGTGTTGGTCTACCATCTGCCATAGCTAAGCTAAGGCCACGAGGTTGCCTTTAACAGGGTGGAGGAAAGGACTTCAAAACGTAACCGCAGCAGATTAGTTTGGCGATATCACACTTTTATTTAGGAGCAACTTTATATATCCAAGCACAAGAAGCATAAGTGTGAAATATAATTATGCTTACTTTCAGATGCCTGCCGCTGGAAACGTCATGGAGGAAGAAGTGGAGACCTTTGCCTTCCAGGCTGAGATCGCTCAGCTGATGTCCCTGATCATCAACACCTTCTACTCAAACAAAGAGATCTTCCTTAGAGAGCTGATCTCCAATTCCTCAGATGTAAATAAAAACAGAACTTAATCATAGGTTTTATTTCGCAAATACAAGCCGTTCTCCCCTGTGTGCAAACATCGCTTTTTTTAAACAAGAGTATTCCTTCTTAACAGGCTTTGGACAAAATCAGATATGAGAGTTTGACAGACCCCAGCCGACTTGAGACCTGCAAGGACCTGAAGATCGAAATCAAGCCTGACCTGCACGCTCGCACCCTGACCCTGATTGACACCGGTATTGGCATGACCAAGGCCGACCTGATCAACAATCTAGGCACAATCGCCAAGTCGGGCACCAAGGCCTTCATGGAGGCCCTGCAGGCTGGAGCCGACATCTCCATGATCGGTCAGTTCGGTGTGGGCTTCTACTCGGCCTACCTGGTGGCGGAGAGGGTGACGGTGATAACCAAGCACAACGATGACGAGCAGTACATTTGGGAGTCTGCTGCCGGAGGCTCATTCACCGTCAAAACGGACCCTGGTGAGTTCCCTTGTGGATATGTTCGATGAATTTGTACCATGAAAATGATTTGTCTCGTAGCCGGGGTCGGCGCTCATCATCGGTTTCTTTTCTACTCTTAGGAGAGTCCATCGGTAGAGGCACCAGAGTCATCCTCCACCTCAAAGAAGATCAGACGGAATACTGTGAGGAGAAGCGCGTCAAGGAAGTTGTGAAGAAGCACTCACAGTTCATTGGCTACCCAATTACACTTTATGTAAGTACCATCAGCAAACCTAATTATAACCAATGAAAATGACCACTTCCCTCCTGAACCACCACTCTTTCCTCACATTCAAGGTGGAGAAAACAAGGGAGAAGGAGGTGGACCTTGAAGAGGGAGAGAAGGAGGAGGAAGTTGAGAAGGATGCCGCTGAGAACAAGGACAAACCTAAGATTGAGGACGTGGGCTCCGACGAAGATGAGGACACAAAGGAGGGCAAGAACAAGAGGAAGAAGAAGGTCAAGGAGAAGTACATTGACGCCCAGGAGCTGAACAAGACCAAGCCAATCTGGACCCGTAACCCCGATGACATCACCAATGAAGAGTATGGAGAGTTCTACAAGAGTCTCACCAACGATTGGGAGGACCACCTTGCTGTCAAGGTGAGCCGTGTATAATGACGACAACTACACCACAAGACGCCACATCACCACCTCTTGGCTTAATGTGATGGTTTTCAAGGTGATCTATTTATACTTCATCCATGTCTCTTGCAGCATTTCTCAGTGGAGGGTCAGCTGGAGTTCCGTGCTTTGCTGTTTGTACCCAGAAGGGCGTCTTTCGACCTCTTTGAGAACAAGAAGAAGAAGAACAACATCAAGCTTTACGTGCGCAGAGTCTTCATCATGGACAACTGCGACGAGCTCATTCCAGAGTATCTCAGTGAGTAACTTAAGTCACACATCACTGATCATCCAAATATTATTTCTTCCTAGATATTTTTGTTTTTGAGATTATCCACGCTAATTATTAGTGAGAATATTTGATTAAATTTGTCTGGCTTTGAAAGGCTAAGCACCCGTTATCTCCATTTAGATTTCATCAAGGGCGTGGTGGACTCTGAGGATCTGCCCCTGAACATCTCCAGGGAGATGCTGCAGCAGAGCAAGATCCTGAAAGTCATTCGCAAGAACCTGGTCAAGAAGTGCCTCGACCTCTTCACTGAGCTGGCCGAAGACAAGGACAACTACAAAAAGTACTACGAGCAGTTCTCCAAGAACATCAAGGTAGGTTGATCCATTTGAATTTATTTAAACTCTAACCCTTCAGATAGTAAATCTGAGGTCATACATTTGTTACGTGGAATATTTGTGACGCATATTCTCCTGTTTCAGCTTGGCATCCATGAAGACTCTCAGAACAGGAAGAAGCTCTCTGAACTGTTGCGCTACTACACCTCAAACTCTGGAGATGAGACGGTTTCCCTGAAGGACTATGTCTCCCGCATGAAGGACAACCAGAAACATATCTACTACATCACAGGTTAGCATTTAAACTCGCTCCTTTATCGTTTTGCTTTGAAGTTTTCTCAGAAGGATTCAGTAATTTGCATGTTGACTTAATGAAATGACATTAACCTCCCCAGGTGAGACCAAAGACCAGGTGGCCAACTCCGCGTTTGTGGAGCGCCTCCGCAAAGCCGGCCTCGAGGTCATCTACATGATCGAGCCCATCGACGAGTACTGCGTCCAGCAGCTGAAGGAGTATGACGGCAAGAACCTGGTTTCAGTAACCAAAGAAGGCCTGGAGCTGCCTGAGGACGAGGAAAACCTGAAGAAGCAGGAGGAGCTCAAAAATAAATTTGAAAATATTTGCAAGATCATGAAGGACATCCTTGACAAGAAGATCGAAAAGGTGAAGAAAACCTACCTACCTATTTGACTGTTGCAGCACAAGTGTGCTATATATAGCACGGTCAATGCTGAACACCATATTTTATTATCTACAGGTTACTGTCTCCAACCGCCTGGTCTCTTCCCCCTGCTGCATCGTCACCAGCACTTACGGCTGGACGGCCAACATGGAGAGGATCATGAAGTCTCAGGCCCTGAGGGACAACTCCACCATGGGCTACATGACGGCCAAAAAGCACCTCGAGATCAACCCTCTGCATCCAATCGTTGAGACCTTGAGGGTGAAGGCGGAGGCCGACAAGAACGACAAGGCCGTGAAAGACCTGGTGATCCTCCTGTTCGAGACGGCCCTGCTGTCCTCGGGATTCACTCTGGAGGACCCTCAGACACACGCCAACCGCATCTACAGAATGATCAAGCTGGGTCTTGGTGAGTTTCCTTTTTCTCCATGACAAGTGACATTTACGGGAATTAGTCTGCTAATTATAATTTACATTCCTCTAATAATAAGATACTTGTGGTTGCTAACGAATGGACTCTCGTTCACAGGCATCGATGATGACGACTCTGCAGTTGATGACCTCATTCATCCCGCTGAAGAAGACATGCCAGTCTTGGAAGGAGATGATGACACATCAAGAATGGAGGAAGTTGACTAAACTACCGAGAAGACTCTTTGCTGCTTTCTTATATATTATTTTTATAATGATGTTACTTCTTCAAATAGACATGTCACCATTAAACAACTCCTATTTCTTAAACAGTCAATAGAATTTATCTAATATAATTAATGTAGGTCACAGTGTGGCTTTGTCTGTCGGGCTGCTTATACTCAACTGCTGACAGCCATTAAGGGAGTAATGTAAAGTCACTGAGGATTTGGCTGATGTCTCTTTTTGTAATAACTACATTTTTTATGAAATGCATTCAAATTTGTAATAAAATATTCTTAGAAAAAAGACTTGTGCAATCTTTCTGACTGAATCCATTGCCTTTAACATTTTATCACCTGGGTTCGGTTGAAAGGGTAAAACACTGAGGAAGCCACTAATCCTCATCTTTGGTTCATTCGATATTCTGGAATCTTCAGTGAACACGGCTCATCCCGCCCGCCTGCATCGTCCCCCGCTCGCTCCTCCCTCCACCCTGCGCATAGTCCCGCCTCCTCCGGTAAAGCACGCGCAGGGGTTGGTGCCTCGCATCCTGATTGGCAGCCCGCGGGGCCTGTCAGCGAACGCCGCTGAGCTCGACCGAGCAGCAACGTTCCAGACGGTTCTGGAAGGTCCTGGAACGCTCGCGGAGGGTAGAAAAGCGGCGCAGCCGACCCGACCGGCACCAAACGTTTTACCGGGCTGACGACAACACCTGCGACGAGGACACCTGCGATCTCTACGGCTTCTCCCTCCGGGGCTTTCTCTAAACTCAGGACCAAGGTAATTATATTAGACATTTTAATATAAACTCAAATACTACGGGATGCAAACTGATGCATTTGACACACGCTGACATTCGTGGTTCGTAATAACTGACGTTAACGTTAAAATGATCTTAAACTTAACGTTAATCTGAAGTCCGTTATGGTGATGACAAGCGTTATGTCTAAACGGTTAACGGTTAGTCAATTACTGTTGGTTTTCAAAATACTTTGAGGCTCATAATTGGATTTTAACGTTACATCGAAGTAACTTAATCTGGCAAGTCGGCGTTTTTCTGCACAGGGCAAAACTTTTCCTAGTTCCATCCAACGTTAGCGTTAATTTCCCCCAGTCAACTTGTTAAACGTGGCGGTAAAACCGACTTCTCAATCGAGACGTTGCTCGTGGATGTTGAGCTCGAGGCGATCGTTCGCGCCGCCGCCTCCGAGGGTCCAAGCGGAGGAGACTTCACCCGCCGTGGAAGCTGCTAGATGGCCGCGCTCGCCTCCTGGTACCTTCTAGAAACTCGGGTGTTCGCCCGGGAAACCGGCAGGTGGAGACACACTCCTGCTGCTGATGCTCCAACCAGCGTTTGCTCCGACGAACCGTCTTCACTGGCGGATTGATACACGCTTTTTAAAACATTTTGTAGAAGGTCGGATGTGTCCTCTGCATCTTGTTTAAAGGCAGAAGCCGGTGGATTTGGTCCGGTTGGCTAAAGGTGGACTACAGGTGGAGCACTGAGCTGGACTGTCCGTCACACCGCCTGCCGGCACCGTCCATGCACGCTTACACTAATCTATCAGACTGATCGATCGCGTCGATTTGATTATATTAAACTAAAATGTGATAATCTTATTAGTTTTATAATTGCATACAGTCTTACAATAACATCTCATAATTTCGCAGTGGATACATTTTTACTGATATCACACATAAATTAATAATTTTATTGAGGAATTTGTCAGTTCTTGGTGTGTGGTTTACTGGGAGCAGTAGACCAAAGCAGTAAATTCCAGTTAAACCTTTTAAATGACAAGTAAACTTTAATTGCTTTCAAATCAGTCATGAGGATGTGTGACAGCAGAGTGACTCTGTGCTGCAGCCAGTGCACAGACCAATGAGCATGAATGAAATGATTATGTTGGCATTGTTGCACCAGCCTACTAAAATAGTAAGTTTTCCCCTCTGCTTAGATGCCGGAATTAACCGACCAACCAATGGAGGAGGAGGCTGAGACCTTTGCCTTCCAGGCTGAGATCGCTCAGCTGATGTCCTTGATCATCAACACCTTCTACTCAAACAAAGAGATCTTCCTTAGAGAGCTGATCTCCAACTCCTCAGATGTAAGTTTGTTGTATCTGTTTTGTCTAAGATGTTCATTGAGCTTGTTAAGTGTGGCTGTACGCCAGGTTTCTTTATGCTGCCAATCAAGGAACTGACAAACTGGCTTATTTCCCCCCCCCAACCCTTGACACCCCCTCCCCCGCAGGCACTGGACAAAATCCGCTATGAGAGTCTTACTGACCCCACTAAGCTGGATAGTGGCAAAGAGCTTAAAATTGAAGTAATTCCCAACAAAGAGGACCGCACCCTGACCCTGATTGACACCGGTATTGGCATGACCAAGGCCGACCTGATCAACAATCTAGGCACAATCGCCAAGTCGGGCACCAAGGCCTTCATGGAGGCCCTGCAGGCTGGAGCCGACATCTCCATGATCGGTCAGTTCGGTGTGGGCTTCTACTCGGCCTACCTGGTGGCGGAGAGGGTGACGGTGATAACCAAGCACAACGATGACGAGCAGTACATTTGGGAGTCCGCGGCCGGAGGCTCATTCACCGTCAAAGTGGACAACTGTAAGTAATATATGAAGGCCATTGTTTTGTTGCTATTTATCAATTGAGTTGGATTGATAAAGGGATTCCTAGGGTGTGTGTGGTCTCTAACTGATCCATCTCTTCCCCATATAGCCGAGTCCATTGGGCGGGGCACCAAAGTGATCCTGCACTTGAAGGAAGACCAGATCGAATACATTGAGGAGCGAAGAATTAAAGAGATTGTGAAAAAGCATTCGCAGTTTATTGGCTATCCCATCACACTCTTTGTAAGTATTCTGTTAATGTGTCTAATTCAAGTCGTTCACAACAGGAAACCTAGTTTATGAATAAATGTTATTTTTCATTCAGGTGGAGAAAGAACGTGACAAGGAGGTGAGTGACGACGAGGCCGAGGAGGAGGAGGAGGAGAAGAAGGAGAAAGATGATGATGATGATGAAGAAGAAGCAGACAAGGATGATGACAAGCCTGAGATTGAGGATGTCGGGTCGGATGAGGAGCACGACCACGATAAATGCACAGACAAAAAAAAGAAGAAGAAGAAGATCAAGGAGAAGTACATTGACCAGGAAGAGCTGAACAAAACAAAACCCCTGTGGACCCGTAACCCTGATGACATCACCAACGAGGAGTACGGAGAGTTCTACAAGAGTCTCACCAACGACTGGGAGGACCACCTGGCGGTCAAGGTAGTTCTCTTAACCCGCTCTTCCTCCACATCATCCTTGTATGAAAAGTGACCCTACGACTGACCCGATCAACGCTCTTCCTCGCAGCACTTCTCAGTGGAGGGTCAGTTGGAGTTCCGCGCCCTGCTCTTTGTCCCTCGTCGTGCTCCCTTCGACCTCTTTGAGAACAAGAAGAAGAAGAACAACATCAAGCTGTACGTGCGCAGGGTCTTCATCATGGACAACTGCGACGAGCTCATCCCAGAGTACCTCAGTGAGTAATAGCCCGACTCCAGCTTTACTGGCCCCATTTGTTCACAATCAAATCAACCGTGTTTATGATTTTAGATAACAAAGTATCCTTCTTAGAAATTAGAACATCTCGCTGATTTGTCTTTATCTCCTTTCAGATTTCATCAAGGGCGTGGTGGACTCTGAGGATCTGCCCCTGAACATCTCCAGGGAGATGCTGCAGCAGAGCAAGATCCTGAAAGTCATCCGCAAGAACCTGGTCAAGAAGTGCCTGGAACTCTTCACTGAGCTGGCCGAGGACACAGACAACTACAAAAAGTACTACGACCAGTTCTCCAAGAACATCAAGGTTAGCAGTGCTCCTAATCTCGCCATGATTAAACCCTCTGGTTGAGACTTACGGATTAATCAGAACTTTAGCAGGATAGAGCTAGTGTTTGCTGAGAGTGCAGAAATGAGCTTTGGAATTGCAGTTCAACATTACAGATTGTTCTCTTTCTACTGCATGTTACTGACGTCCTTTCCCTCGTCTTTTCAGCTCGGCATCCACGAGGATAGTCAAAACAAAAAGCGTCTGTCTGAGCTGCTGCGATACTACACATCAGCTTCTGGGGATGAGTTGGTGTCCCTGAAGGACTACGTGACGCGCATGAAGGACAACCAGAAGCACATTTACTACATCACTGGTGAGGATCCCCTTTAATTCTGGAACTATTCAAAATCAGACACACTTACTCAATTACTGCGAGGACACAGCAAAGTGTGACAACGTCGCCCTTTTGTTTTCAGGTGAGACCAAAGACCAGGTGGCCAACTCCGCGTTTGTGGAGCGCCTCCGCAAAGCCGGCCTCGAGGTCATCTACATGATCGAGCCCATCGACGAGTACTGCGTCCAGCAGCTGAAGGAGTTCGAGGGAAAGAACCTGGTGTCTGTGACTAAGGAGGGCCTGGAGCTGCCTGAGGATGACGATGAGAAGAAGAAACAGGAGGAGAATAAGGCTCAGTTTGAGAACTTGTGCAAGATAATAAAAGACATCTTGGAGAAGAAGGTGGAGAAGGTGAGGAGACTAATCAATGAAACAGCTTTGTATAGCTTAATACCGTACAACCTTCTGTAATAGGGCAGAAAATGATCGCTTCTTGCTCACCTCCGCAGGTTACCGTCTCCAACCGCCTGGTCTCTTCCCCCTGCTGCATCGTCACCAGCACCTACGGCTGGACGGCCAACATGGAGAGGATCATGAAGGCCCAGGCCCTGAGGGACAACTCCACCATGGGCTACATGGCAGCTAAAAAGCACCTGGAGATCAACCCCGACCACCCGATCATAGAGACCCTGAGGCAGAAAGCAGAGGTGGACAAGAACGACAAGTCTGTGAAGGACCTGGTGATCCTCCTGTTCGAGACGGCCCTGCTGTCCTCAGGGTTCAGCCTGGAGGACCCTCAGACACACTCCAACCGCATCTGCAGAATGATCAAGCTGGGTCTTGGTGAGTATCTGTGACCCAATGTTAATGCTACCGTGATATTGATTGATATTGCTGTGGGTATTTTTTATGAGGTTTATGACTCATTGATTTCCTTTGTGTCTTTTAAGGTATTGATGAAGATGATCTGACACCAGAGGAAGTCAGCTGCGCTCCCACTGAGGAGATGCCCCCCCTTGAAGGGGATGACGACGACACATCCAGGATGGAGGAGGTGGACTAGGCCCGTTGGTGCGAAGTAGTGTTGTATAGAAATTTAAAGTTTAATGTTGTAAATGACCCTGCCCTCAACCTCTTTCAACAAATTCACAAGATTTTGCTTTGCCCATATGCAGCTCAGATTCATTCCTTGCTTAGAATTTAATTTTCTAAGTTGTTCCCTTTGTAACTTAAGTTTTATAAATGCATTTGTTTTGTATTTATCGACATTCCAATGTTCTTTGTGTTGTAACTGTAAATACTTAAATTGATACTGTTATTTCAAATGGGTGGAACCCAAAAATAAAGGTTGACAAGTTCTATTCAGTTGAATCTCATTGATTTGTTTGTTTAGGACGCAGAGAAGGTGAACGTCAACATTTTGTATCGGTACAAAAGTTTCAGCCAGGTGGAAATTTACTCCTTCAGCTAATTGTTTTAAAGCAGTTTTATGGAAATAAGTTGTGTTTGACGTGTATAACTACAGCAGCTGATGGGTCGCTTACTGTCAGATTTACACAGCGGCTCAGTTCATTAAAAAAACACCTGAAATGCAAATAAGTGGGAAGGAAACCATGAACTTGCGGTGCACCATCCCCAAATATGCAAAGGAAATGAAACATTAACCCACTCGTTTAAGCTTTTATCACCACAAATGAGTAATGTACAGCCTGGAAGAAGGTTATTTTTCTTCACCAGACTGCAGCCATGGGGACATGCAACTTGCAGGGAACTTTAACTGAACAGAATAAACTCCTGAGTTTTGTTTCGAGGCAGTCTCCTTGCAGTCACCTCCTAAATCCTTCCAACGAGACGGCAGCAGGCATTTCACAGTATCTACGCTCTATTGAAGCGCTCTAGTGAGCCGTCGTCCACGCTTCTGAGGAGTTGGACGGTATTTCATTGAATAAATATAAATTAAATTCCAGTAGATGGCAGTGATCCATCAATGAATGCCAGCTGCTACTCTGAGGCTCAGGAAGGGCTTCTGCCCCTCAGCTGTGCATCTATTAAACACTGCAGCCCGCTGTGAGGGGTATTTCATTTTAATACCAACCAAATCGTCTCTAAATTAGATGGAGGTGAAGCAAACAAAAAACGTGTTTTATCTGTATGTTTTGAAGTTGTCCATAATGACAGACGTGACTAGCTGTCCCACGTGCTGTAGTGGCCGCCTGCCACCGACAGGGGGCGCCCACCGAACGCCCAAACTGCGCCGGTGAAGTCAGCTGACTGGCAGCAGCCAATCACAGGGCAGGACAGGCCGAACCCGTTCAGTTTGCTGCCTCGAGAGTTGTCAAAGGTTGTTTTTTTATTTTTTTAAGGGAGGGTTGTGGAATATCCGAAAGGGGAGCAAGGGCGGCAACGGTGGTACGATGCCGAATAAAACGAAAAAAGACAAGGTGAGTTTCAGAACCTCGCAAGAGGGTTTAACGACGTTTTTTTTTCCGGCACAACCGGCGTTTATAACTGGACGTTTTTTTTTTTTTTTTTAACCCAGTTGACTAGCAGCGAAGTGTCCCGGGTAACGTTAGCAAACCCGGCGATGGGCACCAGCTAGCAGACCGGTGAACGCCGACCCGGCGGGCGCATGCTGTGTTTTTAACGCACACATTAACTCACGTTTGAGGATGAGCGTTTTTTAAAGCGTGTGCCGCGGGCCCGACGGGGACCGAGGTCACGTTAGCTCAGCGGGAGCGCGCGTGCTATATTTAGCTCCGTGTTGTCCCTGTGCGCGGAGGGCTTCGCTTGACTTGTTTATTAACCGTTATATGCGTTTTCCCGCAGGAGTCCGTGAAGTCTGGCAAAGCGGGAAAGGGTGGCGGACAGGAGAACTCTGAACACGAGGTAACTTTAGGGTTTTTCAATGGAACCTTTTGTAGGAGACAGCAGGACCTTTTTTATCTCACGTTACAATGTCACTGATATTACAGCTCGTAAAATGGATTATTATTATCATTATCAGTGACATCAATAAGCCCAACCACCCCCACGTTATCAGTGTTTTTCATTTCCATTGCCTGCGTTTAATAATTAAACCATTTCATTCAATATTAATATGCATATATTTTCCAATATCGTGTGCAATTTCTGATGTTTTTGCACCAACCGTGTTGTAAACGCACACCTCTGTGTCTTTCCGTCCACACATCCACACCCGTAAACCCACAAGACCGAGGAACCGGCTTCCTGCGTGAGCCACAAACGTGAGGGTGGCTGGATGAGCAAATGATTTATTTGGGCCCGCACTGTGTGTCGCCCAGTGGGGCCCTATTGTCCTCGGCCTGCGCGCCGGGACACGAGGCAATCCGCACACCAGCTCCAAGGTGACTCAAATGTCATCGTCGCACTGGTATGCCAAAATATGAATAAGTCTTTTAAGAGGTCCGGAGACGACGTTCTAAGCAACAAATCTGATAAGATCGACAAGAAAGATTAGCAAGTTGTAATTCGCCGAAAAGGAATCCGTCTACAGGGCTTGTGCGTCAGAAGTGCGTCGACACCTCGCTCGCCGGATCCAGATCAAAAGCTGCGGCACAAATCTGCACAGTCTGTCCCGTGTAATAAATCCGTTGAATATGGCGCCAGCTGGACTGGCCTTTGACCTCTTCGCTTGCATCTGGATCGGGTCACGTCGGTGTTTGTGTCGGTCGTACTCTAGCGCAGGCAGTGTGAATCATTGACTGTATTTGTACAGGTGCACGGTTTGGTTTCACATTGACTGCATCTGTTAACAAAGAAGAAAAACAATTCGAGGCTGACTTTTCCCACGACCTCCGTGATCACCATGTAAACATCCCTGAGCCATTACGGAAAGATTCAACCGTCTTTGTTCAAGAACTGGACACTTTTTCTTTTTCGCGGGTATCAAAAAGCCTTGTGGCGCTCTCTTCGGGACCGGGGAGGGAGGCGGGGGGGCAGCTGACATCTGCTTGTGCAGCAAAGTGGCGTCCTCCTCTTTCCTAGACATCTAATATTTATATTGTAAGGGCTGTTGACCAGCTGTTTGTGTTTTAGTGTCTGATGTAATACACGGCCCAGTTGGTTGTAATAAAGAAATGCACAGAATTTAGCTTTTTAAAGCCCATTTAAAAGACAGAACGTTGTAGATTTGACTTGAACGCAGGAGGTGTTTCAGCAGCCGTGTGGCAGATGTACCGCTGCCTCAAGCTTGTGTCAAATTCCAAAAGTTTCGCTGCAAGCGGCTGTTGTTGCCTTTTTATAAGGCTTAATTTTCTGTCTCGGTACCAATTATGTTGGCATTAAACCATAAAATCCCATCGGACAGACGCTTCTACATTGGCTTAATGAATTTACAAGTAGAATAGTTCATTCCTATCTGGGTATTACATGAATCCATAATCTAGTTCCAAGTAGAGGCCCGCGCAGCTGTATGACCCCACTTCACTGGACAGCGTGCTGGTGGGCCGGCTCTTAAGCTTCCGGCTCTTAAGCTTCCGTCTTGCAGCGCTGCAGACGGGGACTCGCTCCATCTGGGGCTCAACTGGATTGAATAATTCCCCCGTGACTCAGACTGGTGACGTAAGCTCTTTGGCATCAGCTGCGTGTTGATGAATGGATCCCAGCAGGCAGGTAGAAAAACTCGCCCCCATTCACTTGATCCCACGTCAGGATTTCTTTTTTCAAGTTATCGAGCGTATGTCGGCCCGTATGTCGGCCAGTCACGCGCTGCTGTCAGGTTCACGCCGAGGTGCTTGTTGCACGCGTCGCTGATGTGGGGTTTTGTCTTGTTTCAGCAGAGCGCCAACAGGAAGGCCAACAATAACGTTCCTCCCACCACTCAGCTGCTAAAAGGGAAGCAGCCAGGTTCCCAGACCCCCGTCAAGAAGGACAAGAGGCCGAGCTCCTCTCGTTTCAGCCTGAGCAACAACAGGGAGCTGCAGAAACTGCCCGCTTTCAAAGGTATTTAACGTGGAGATCACTGAATGCTGAAACAAGTACCCAGTGCTTGTTCCTAATTCTGGTACAGATGCTCCTCCAAGCTGGAGAGTTGTGCTCTTGGTTGTGGACTTGTAGGCAAAACAATAAAAAAAATTGTAGTATTTTGAAACCTGATTTTCAAAACTGTGTCCCGGAAGTCGTGCACAAAGCAGAATCCCTGCAGTCTTGAATACTTGCACATGTAGAAGTACACACTCGGCTCCTATTTTCTTTCCGTGAACATCCCCTGCTGCATCTCTCACGGCGGAACCAAGCCGATCGTGGCGTTACACAAAACATGGCAACATACAGAGGACGGGCACGGCGCGGACGTTGGATTTAACCCAAGCGTCTATATTTAGTGGTAATCCAGAGATAAAGCTTTAATTCCGTGGTGTGTGCACGTTTTTAGGATGTTGCCAGTGACCCGGCGGCGTCGGCCGGCCGTACCGCTCTTCCTCCTCCAGGCCTCCTTTTTAATGAAGAGAAATATATTTATTTACTTTGATTACTAACCGCGGTACCAGCACAGCACCAGATGGAAGAGCAAGGAGTGGGCATTGCTTGCGTGTGCGTGCATGTGTGTGTGTGTGTGTGTACGCACACATGAATACACACAATGTGGTCAGCTGCCTTGTCCCAGCACAATCATTATATTACGTGTACTTAAAACAAACCTGAATGAATAAAAGGTTATTAAAGTACGTGTGAAAGAACTTTTTTATATAGAGCGATTTTGCAGATGAGAGCGGAAAGGAGATCCAGGAGCTCCGTGGGACGCAACAAATAGTTCAATGTCTGGGAATTCTCATTACCCAACCCCCAGCATTGGCATTCGGTAGCACGTCAGTTAAAATTCTTCCGCTCAAAGGCCTGAAATCGTGAGCCTGTTGTATTATTTCCTGCCGAAACCGTGATGTTTGTGTTTTGGTGTAACGGCCGTTGTCCTTTCTGCATGAAGCATATGTCTCCCGGGGGTTTGACGCCCCCTGCTGGTTACTCAAGTGGTGGCGTTGACTTCATGTTGATGAACGGGAACAAACATTCCAGTTGTCAGGATGAACGTGCAACACAAACAAACCACTGATTTGTTGTGGTTGTGCAGCTTAAGGCCTACTGTGTTCAAGTAACGCACACTATGCAAGTGTCGTATTTTAATGCTGCACTTATTTATTTTCAAGCATTGTGTAAACTACAATAATTGTTTTTAAATTAAACTACTATGAGGACACGACAATAAGGATTATTGTTCTATGAATGCTGGTTATTCTGTGTAATTTTTTCGGTGCGTGATAAAGATGAGTCTGTCTTGTCGGAGCTCAGTAAGTGACGAGAATATGACGCACTTCCTTTGGTTCACCAGAGCCGTCTTCAGCTGACATACGACCACAGACGGAGAAAGCGAGGTGGAAAAGTAGCTTCTACAGTTAATTTATGGGAATAGAAAAGGAAGCGAGCCCCGCACAAGGCCAGAAGTTACCTTGCATACTCGTGAAACGCAAGTACGGAGCTTACGTGACGATGCGTCGCCTTCATTTGACTGCATTCGGAATGTACATCTCCGAGGTAGATTCTTTTTTTTAACCATTGTGGGCAAATACTCAGCAGGATGCCAAAGGGCAAGGCGGCTTTCAGGGACGGGTTTCCTGCAGGTGGTCAAGGAAAGAAAAACTCCCCCCTCCTCATGACAGCAGTTTCCTTTTTAACGCATCCCTGTAAAGAGAAGCCTCAACACACACAAAAAACATTCCAGAGCTTCGATCAACGCTTTGGCACGACTCCGCTTTCATTAGAGATGTAAAAAGTGGCATTAAGTAAAGAAATGAGTGTTGAAGTAATCAAATGGTTTCCAGTGACGTTGCTCAATTTGAGAGGATGGGACTTTCTGTCATTGGAAGCCGCTTCAGGGCAACGTTGCGTTTGGTTTCCAGTAGAAGGGACGGGTTTCGACGTGCCTTTTTGTCTCCAAATAGCCCCGAGCCTTAAGTGTTGAATACAGACCCCTCGACCGCCGTTCGTGATGAATGTGGACCGCCTCCGTCCTGTCCGGCACCAGACCCCTGATGCCTCACAAGTTCCCCGTGCGTCGCCTCCGCCAGAACAGACCGGCAGCGCGTGAACGCCTGCGCCAGACGGAGCGCTTTGGAGAGGATGCGTGACCAGGGGGGCGTGTCTTTTAGCGTCGTCTCGGGTCGGGAGACAACGGGGCTTCTGATGGGAAGTCGCCTCATGAGGTCGGGGTCATGAGCGCCAAGAAAGAGGCCTTTTTATACACTCTCGAATAGAGAGACCCCGCGACGAAATGCACCGCTTGTCGTATGGCGCCGGGAGCAGCCGGTGTTTGTGTTCTGCGAGGAGACTCGAATAGTCTTCTGGGGAAGGGGGGGGCAGTGATGAGGTCTCTGATATTGCCGAAAACATCGATGGCTGAGATTACGGATCGCAGCCGTCTTGGCAAAAGTAAACCTCGGCCACGCCGTAGTGGGCGACATTCAGTGGGATCTGCTGTCCTGTGACGTGAGTCGCCTATCTGCTGATCTCCATTGAAAGCTCGGCGCAGATGTGAGATTCAGGAACATCCGGTCGCACCGGTTGAGACGCAGCGACCCACAGGGAGGAGCTGTTACGCTCCAGAACCCAGACAAACGTCACAGAAACACAGCAGCTCAAGATGCACGGCTTTCTTTTGTAAGTTTCCAAACTTTATTATATAATGTAAGCTCTTTTTTATATCGAGACCAAAGTTGACTGCTGCACTTCTTTGTTTCTGCATACAACACAGAAACTGTAAACGGAGGAAGTGTGCGTCAGTGTGCACGGTGTGCAGATCCTCGCAGTTGAATGTGTGCGTCCTCACAACGTGATCGCATGCGACGCATTGGGCTGTGTGATCGTGCAGTGGTTGGATGCACGCCATGACTTGACCTTTCTTCCCATTAGAAAGGTCAAGTCTTGAAGATGGACCCGTAGGTCCACTTCACTGAGCGTGGATCTGCAGGATGAGATTTCCCTGCAGGCCGCTACCGAGGCAGACGGAGCGCCGCTACTCTGCTCGCGCACATCCTGTGTCGCTTGCATCGAGGCTTCCTGCCTTCCTGTTTCTGTCGCGTACACCTGGTCTTTTTCTGACGAGCCGCGCAGGGCCGTCTCATCCCACCGCAGCGTCTAGTCCGTACACCTTCCAGCTGTTTGACTGAAGAGGTCGTGTCTAAACTCGCCCCCCCCCCGGGGCCACGCGGCCCTCCTGCCTGTTGGTTTCATGTGTGTCATTCTCCGTGAGTCTGAACTTTTGTGCGTTGTGCTCGAGCGGCGGGCTTTGCCGTCTGGTGTGATCGAGTGCAAGCAGCTGATAATAAACAAATGGGCTAAACTGATTTCAGATCAGTTGTTTGTGCTCTAATGCTCCCAAAACCCTTGTAACCACTCGCTCTCCAATCACAGTACCAGCGCCCTCCTCACCCCTCCCTCCCCCCGTCCTCCGCCCACCAGCCAATCCCCTCCCTCATGTTTATTTATTCTGACACTCGGCCCATGTGATCGCAGCCAGCCAACCGGGTGGCTGCAGCGGGGGATGACATCACTTACTAGCTGGTTCCCTCCAGCAGCAGGGGAGCTTCATTTTCTGCTCCGAGTGTTCGTGCTAAAATGGAGGCTGGCTCCTCGCCGTAGCTCGGGCTGCCCTCTCCTCCCCCGTCTCCCGCCTCGGCTCCCTGATGTTGGCATGCGCTAGGACTGCCAGTGGGATGGTTCTGGATGCACCGAGCACCAACGGGCCTTTCCAGCCTGTGGCCCTCATGCATTTCAGAGGTGAGAATAGGAGATTCTTTTTTTTTGTTGTTTTGTCGTCTTCCTGCTGTTTTTATGTCTCAGGCGGAGATGTGGGGGGGAAAAACGGTGAGTGTTGGTTTCGGATGACTTTTCTTAAAGTTGCTGCAAGAGAGCGAGAGCGTTGATCCTCTGAGCGTCAGTGGCATGTGTGTGTGTGTTTTTAGGGGGAGGGGGGCGCGCATGTCAAAGAGACAGGGTTTTGTCAAGACATTGCATAGCTTCGAGAAGACGAAGTGCGAAGGAGTGCTACTTTTGAGCCTCCCATCCCCCACGGAGGATGCTGATGTCATAGGAAGTGAGGTCACGGCGTGTTGTCAGTGTGTGTGCATCTGCGCCGTGTTGTGTACGAGTATCTGGTGTCGGCTGAATCACGTGCGCGTCGAATGTCCAGTAGGCTCCTGGGTTCCCATCCACTGGGACAAGCTGGCTAGCTCAATGCTAACTGTATCTCAGAATGTGTGTTTGTGTGTGTGTGTGTATTATTTATATTAACACACTTTCCTGACGTGTCTGTGTACGTGCCGCCGTTGCATTTACACAGAATGTGCACAAAGCGTTTTATTAATCAGTCATTCATGAAATATTCACCAGCAGACGTCCTGTGGAGCAATGTGTGTCCAAAGCCCGGTTTCCTGCGCGCACGCCGGAGCCTTTTAGATGAGTAAAGGTCAGCGCAGAGGGGGGCCTGTGTGTGATGCTGCTGGGTGCCAATCAATCAAGCCGTAATATCCCCCGGTGAACTTTGATCGATGACAGATGATCGTCCGTGGCTTCAATAAACGATGTAGATGTGCGCGAGGAGGCTTCTGTCTTGTTGCAGGGACACAGTTCAGCAGTTCAGGCCTCTTCGTGGCCGCAGCTCCACCGCTTAAAGTTGCAGCCCTGCTGGAACGGAAGGAGAACAAAAGAATATACTTAGCCGTGCCTTACGTAAACACGAGTTCTAAAACCCACCCAGAGGTTTTCCAGGAATGCGGTAGCTGGAGCTCGGGGGGGGGGGGGGGGGGGGTGAAGCAAACCGACCGGCTGTTTGACCTTTTTGTTGTTGTTTCAGATCCGGTCGTTTGAACAAAGGGGGGGGGGGGCGGCGGCGAAGTAGGACGTTACCGCGAGGCCACTTAACAGACTGAGTATAGACTTTGAAGCGTTTTGTAACCGGTTGGCTGGACCACTTGTTCCGCGATGCCCCAGAAAAACCACAAAGGCCCACGTGCACGCCAAAGACAAGTCGAGCGCTAAGCGCGCTTTCTGTGAGCGACGTGTTCGGGGAGAAATGTTTGGCAGGGGCAATTCTTTTCAAGTAAAAACAAAATGTGTCGTCCATGTGGATAAAATCGTTGCGTTCTGAACGCCGGCTTTGCCACGAGGACTCCGGAGCGAGGAGCCCCGGGGAAAGCGTGCACAACCGACCTTAAATATCAACTGTGATGACCCAGTGCCACTGTATCTGTGGCTTTCTCATACTACACACACTCCGAGGGGAAGAGAGAATAAAGCTATTTTAAGATTTGGGAAATATGAAAACTTGTGGCAAACAATATGATTCATATGTGTTTCCTGTTAATCTGAGGCTGAGTAACAAAGGAACATTCTGTTTATTATTTATTTCTCTTTACATTTCTGGGGAGTGTTTCTTTTTTTTTAGGGTTCACCCTTCAGCTCTTTTTTTTCTTCTCTTTTTTTCTCTCCCACAAAGTAGTTTCTCACCCTTTCGTATTCGGCGTGGCGGTGAGCGCTGGCTGATTCTCGGTCGCAGCAGACGGGCTCAACGAATCAGCAGCGTGCGTTTCCTTTTGTAACCGCAGCAGCATCAGCAGCCTGCGCGCTCCTTTGATTAGCGGCGCTCAACCCGCTGGTCCAAAGTCCCCGCCCCCCTTCTGTCTGCGGTCACCATGGCGACGTACGTACACATGCGGATTGTTAACGAGGAGACGAGAGACTGACTCACGGGTGGGTTTATACGGGGAGGTGGGGCGTCCTTGCTTTCAGTCACTGATCCCCACGTTGGACCAAAGCAAATGAGCGTTCATATCGTTTTTTCTGTTTGGCACCGCGTGGCCCGACTGCTTGTGCGTCTGACACCTTCTGCTGCGCGAGCGAGGAAAAGCCCTCGGCTCCTCCGGGAGCAGACGAGCAGCCGCTCCTCGCTGCAGAAGGGGAGTCCTCGCTGGTCCTGCTGGTGGCTCCTGGCTTCTCATGCAGCCCGGGTGTATTTCATTTCAAGCTCAAAACGTAGCATTGGTGTAATTATTGCACCAGTTATTGGCCATAGTGTGTGTTTGATTGCATATTTATGTCGCGTGGAGGATTTGTGAGAATTCTCGTGGCAGCTGCCGATGATTCATTCACGCAGGAGGGAGATCGACTCATTGACACCGAGCGTGTAGCAGCTGCAAAGAAAACGTGTCAGGATTCCTGAATGGCGAGTTAGCGGCGCTCCACCGGAGTCGGAGCCTCTGCATCATTGATGGAGCGAATGACGGTGTCTTTTAAAAGACTGAATTATTGATTACCCGTCACTACATGAACTCCAGTAGAACTATCTGAATAACCCTGAGAGGAATTATTCATCCTTAAGATCGAAAATCGTTTAATAACTCTGTGTGTAACCTTGATTTATTTCAGTAGAGCCTTTACGTATCGAGTTTAATCGACCGCAAAACGGTTTCAAAACATCGGCTTACGGACTCGTGCAGCACAATCCAAGTCTCCGTTATCCTCTCGCCTCCAACGGCCTTTATTAACTTTTAATTCATCAGGGATTCTCTCCGTTTCACTGACGTACTCCATGATTTAGTTTCTTGCAGACGACCAAAGCCTGGAAGCTTCAGCTCCACGTGGGGAAAGCGATTAGCACCGACTGCCGTTGTGTTGTTTCTAAAAAGACTTTTGCGTGCTGTCTCTCCCCCCCGTCCCCGCAGACGTCCCCCCCGCCGACCAGGAGAAGCTGTTCATCCAGAAGTTGCGGCAGTGCTGCGTCCTCTTCGATTTCATCTCGGACCCGCTGAGCGACCTGAAATGGAAGGAGGTGAAGCGGGCGGCCATCAGCGAGATGGTGGAGTACATCACCCACAACAGGAACGTCATCACCGAACCCATCTACCCGGAGGTGGTTCACATGGTGAGGGAGCTGTGCTTTATTTCCTTTAAGAATACAAGTTCCGGTATCGGTTCCTGTAGCAGGTTTTCTGGGGGTTTTCTTTGCGGAACCCAAAGTGGTATTTTAATTTCCTTCCCGACGAGGCTTCCTGCGTGCTGCTGCAGGATGTTGTTGTTAAGCTGCTGATTGAAAGCATCGGTTTCACATTAGTGATACTGTTGTTTAAGTTCTTTGGAACGTTGGATCATGTTTGTACAGTCGAGGCACAGAAGATCAAACATTAAAAGCAATAATCGAGAAAAACAAAAACATGAAGAACCAGCATCACATGTAATATCTTTAACAAGAGCGGCGGTGGGACTGATCACCGCGTGGGGAGTATTTTTAGGAGGTCACAGCCTCTGGTTGCCTTGTGGTTTTTTCTCTGGTTCCTGTTATTTATTAAGGGTTCTAATCACATCACCGCTGATGAAGGCTGCTCATACTTTAAATAGTTAATTGGCAGCCACAGTGGCCAGCGATGGAAAACACGGGCTCGGCCTACCTGGTAATGCAACACTGCCGCTGGCGTAAGCTCATGGGTTATAACACGTGCAGAGATCACGCGTGTGCGTGTGTCCACCTCGTCCACAGCGCTTCATTCAGGCGGCCTGATATTTATGATGTGTTCGCCGCGCCGGGTCTGCGCTCTCCAGCCACGTTTTCAAAGCCTTTGATTTGAATGAAACGCAGCTTCCAAATCTGCATGAAAAATATTCCCGACCCTCTTAAAGGCTCTTTGAAGCCCCCCGATGGCTTTGATCATCAAAGCGCGGAGAGACTGACGCGACCAGACGCAGCATCTCCTTCTTTGTTTGATATAATATTTTGGGATGACGTGACTGTGGTTGTTCCATTAATCCCATTCTCTCTTGGGCGGGGGAGCACATAAACATGACGGGGAGTGAATTGACCTCTGCTCGACTGTCCCAAGTGTGCCGTCTTGAAGGGGAGAATAGAGGCAGAGTAGATTGATGCTTCCCCGTTTGGGGGACAGCGACGGGGCCTTTCATAAAATAGCCGTCACATCTCCGTTTTTATTTGTCCCCAAGAGGCTGGTTGTCCTTCATCACAGTCCATCGATTGTTTGGAGTAAGGGATGAGTCAGTCTTTGTACACAGCATTTGCTTGTCAAATACTCGGACTGCCTGCATGGGTTTGTGTTGTTTTGAATGCGTTCAGCCTGACGGGTTGGTCGTGTAATCGCCCTCACTGATCAAAAGCTGCGACTCATAGATTTGGACTTGACGTGTGTTTTCTTCGGTGTTATTTTTCTGTCTCTGCGTGATGTCTGAAGGAGTTTCTCACATGTATCATTTATTACATTTCTTACTGAACTCATCAGAATTTGGGGCTGGAGGGTCACTCCTGCTTCACAACACAGGTTTTCGTGCCCATAACTCAAGAATTAAAATGACTTTGACCCCGATGACTTACGGGGTCAAATTAAAAAGTGACCTTTTGTCTCTTTTGAAGTAAAGTGGGCGTGAACGGCAAGTCGACTAGTCGGTGTGAGCATTCGGCCACGAGGCGTCATTTTAGTTTGTCAGCCAAGCGTCAACTGGAACATTGTGGCTTTATTTGCTTTGCTTTGATTTGTCGATGTTTGATATCAGGCCAGTTTTGCGATCTGCCTGCTCATTTACATTTCCTGTGTTGGAATTTGTTTTATATATTTACTTTTAAAAATAAACTCCATCAATAACTGATATGTCCCAAAACATGTCATGAATCTAAAAAAAAAGTTTAAATATGTTGTGTCATGGTGAAAAAGTCACATTTTTTTTGGGAGAAAAAAAAATGATAATAATTGGGGAGGAAAAAAGGTCAAATATATAGTCTATAAAATAAAGTAAATACAAACGGTGAAATTTATTTTATTTTATTTTTTTAAGTCAAACAATATTAAGTCAAAAAATGTTAAATATTTGCGGCCAAAAGGTTTTCAAAAATATTTTAGGTAAAAATGTTTTGGAAAAGTAATGTTGTAAAAATATATTCAAAGAACATTCGGTCAAAAAATGTTTTAAAAAAAGTCAAAGTATGTAAATCCAAAAAAGTCAAACATTAGGTTTTTAGAAAAAGTCAAAATATATTGGATTGAAAAAATGTCATGTCAAAAGTCTGATTATCTTAACAAATGTTCAATATATGTTTAGTTAAATTGTGTTTGTTACTCCCCCCGTACTTCTGTCCCCTGAGTGACCTCACATTCCTCGCGCTCGCTCTGTTTCCACAGTTTGCTGTGAATATGTTCAGGACGTTGCCGCCGTCATCAAACCCCACCGGTGCCGAGTTTGACCCAGAGGAAGATGAGCCCACGCTAGAGGCCGCGTGGCCACATCTACAGGCACGCACACGCGCTAAACCGATCCGATTACACCCACACATCTGTTGCTTTCCCTCTGTGACCTCGTCTGTCTTTACCTTCCGCAGCTCGTCTATGAATTCTTCCTGCGGTTCTTGGAGTCACCTGACTTTCAGCCAAACGTAGCCAAAAAGTATATTGACCAGAAGTTTGTAATGCAGGTGAGCGCACTTTGCTGCAGGTTTGTGCGCGTTGCTGTATTATATATTCCCACGGTGCCCAGTGACCTTCTCCTTTGTGCTCAGCTCTTGGACCTGTTTGACAGCGAGGACCCCAGAGAGAGAGATTTTTTAAAGACCACTCTTCATCGCATCTATGGCAAGTTCCTGGGCCTGCGAGCGTACATTAGGAAACACATTAATAACATATTTTATAGGTGAGTGAGACTTTGGCACGTTGGCGACACTTGCGTCCTGCGTCTGTAATGTAACGCGTGTTTCATCAAATGAACCACTGTGATTCGTCTCCGTGTTGCTTTTTCTCAGGTTCATTTATGAGACCGAACATCATAATGGAATAGCAGAATTACTGGAAATATTAGGCAGGTAAGAAACCTTTTGAGAGGTGCATCCACAGCGGCACTTTTCAGGTGATTTCCATAAATGTTTTTTTTCCGGTATTTAAATGGTCCAAGTCATTCTGCCGGCCGTTCTCCTCGCAGCATAATCAACGGCTTCGCGTTACCTTTGAAAGAAGAGCACAAGATATTCCTGCTGAAAGTTCTGCTGCCGTTGCACAAAGTCAAGTCTCTCAGCGTTTACCACCCGCAGGTAAACAAGCGCTTCCTGCGTCTCCAAGACGTTGTGCGTTTTCTCCGTCATAAACCCCTCGTTCTAACGACGCGGTGGTCTCTCTCCCCCTCAGCTGGCTTACTGTGTGGTCCAGTTCCTGGAGAAGGACAGCACCCTCACAGAACCGGTAAGATGTCATTCAGGAACGTTATGTCAGCAATGGAGTCTAGTTTATGATATTTCTATACTTACTACACTTGTTTGCAATGTGACTTTTTAGGCATAATTCAAAATCTTAGCAAAGAGCGTGTGAAATGCATTGGAGCTATTTGGATGCACAGTGAGGGAAGGGATGAGAAGGGAGAACGCTGCAGGCCGTCTTCCTCGCTAAGCCGCCGGGATTTCGGTACAAGGGATGGAAAACAAACTTAATCTGATCTAAATCCCGGATGTCAAATTAAACTACACCCAAACACGAGTTGTGCATATGGATGTCCTCGGTTCTTCTCCACTGACGCCGGCGTCCCTCCTCCTCCTCAGACGGTCATGGCTCTGTTGAAGTATTGGCCCAAGACCCACAGTCCGAAAGAGGTGATGTTCCTCAACGAACTGGAGGAGATCCTGGACGTCATCGAGCCCTCGGAGTTCGTCAAAGTCATGGAGCCCCTCTTCAGACAGCTGGCCAAGTGTGTGTCCAGCCCGCACTTTCAGGTCCGACATCCCCCCCAGCACGCGCGCACACACACACAAACACGCACTTTGGTGCTGATCCGGGCGAATTAAAAGGGACCCCCCCAGCCCCCGTTAAAAACCACGCTGTGCTAAAACAGGTGGCGAGCGAGACGCTGTAATACTGAACAACGAGTACATCATGAGCCTCATCAGTGACAACGCCGCCAAGATCCTGCCCATCATGTTCCCGTCGCTCTACCGCAACTCCAAGACGCACTGGAACAAGTGAGTCCCCGGCGCTGATTAGCGCCGCGCTCACAAACGGCCAGTGGCTGTTGAACCATTGAAGCCCGGCTGCGATTGTCGCGGCGGGCTGCACAGACGAGGCTTCGTTTAGTGAGGACTAAATGAGCCGCGTGGACGTGGATGTGTCTCTGCAGGACGATCCACGGGTTGATCTACAACGCTCTGAAGCTCTTCATGGAGATGAACCAGAAGCTGTTCGACGACTGCACCCAGCAGTTCAGGGCCGAGAAGAGCAAGTAAGCCGCGAGCGGGCGATCACATCTGAATTTCTGGTGCTTTTTCATCATCCGTCGAAGAGGTAAAATCCGATTTGTGTCTCTAATGATTCCGTTTGTTTGTTTTTCCAGAGAAAAAGCCAAATGGAAAGAGAGAGAAGAAGCCTGGCTGAAGATCGAGAACCTTGCAAAGTCAAACCCACAGGTGTGCAGAGAAACTGGTTTTCCTATCGAGTAATTGCCGCCGTAGCAAATAATCTATTTAGGGTTTCTTTATCTTATCTTTATCTCTTTTTTCTTGAAGCTTCAAATGTTGTCATTTTACAATACCAAAATATTCCTTCGGACAAAAGCCTCAAGTTGGTTAAATGATTAATCGGATGAAACAAGTTGACCGTTCTTCAGTGAACACTGAGCGCGGCGCCAAACCGCAGTGAAAATATGGCTTCTGAAAGGTTTGTTATTCGGCCCGATAAAGACTCCTCCGCCCCGGTTAACGCTCCTCCGCCCCGCCAATCAAGTGGAAAACCTTTTATTTCTTAGCGTGGTCCTAAATCCGGCCCGGTCTCCCTGCACAGTTCCTGGTGTACGTGGACTCGATAGGCCCGGGCTGTCCGATGGACACGGAGACCGACGGGCTGCTGCTCGACGACGTCGGCACGCTCAAGCGAGCGGTGGAGGAGGAGGCCACGCAGGTAGGGCGTGGGCCTGACCCGGCTCACTGCGGCCCGGTTGAATCCACCGCGTCACCGGCTACATTTCAAACATTTCGAGGCTCGTAAAGCGGGCTAGTTGACCTTCTTCCTGCTGCCCCACGTGGTCACTTCCTGTCATAGCCCCGCTCTTCACTTACCGTTTGTTTTGTCTTTTTCTCATGTGCCTTCACCCGCCCCCCCCCCCCCCCGCTCGTCTCCGTGTACCCAGATCCAGAAGGAGCAGCGGCGCGAGCGCCCGCTGATGAGGAGGAAGTCGGAGCTGCCCCGGGACATCTGCACCGTCACGGCGCTGGAGCTGCACCGGAGAGCCGACGAAATGTTGACGACGCACGACGGCCACTAAGAGACACCACCCCTCCCGGACCCCCCCCCCCCCCACACCACCAGATCCACCATAAACCATCAGCAGCATCCACAGAGGAACCACAACGCGCCCCCCCCCCCCTCCAGAACAGCAGAACTCTGGTCCAGCACAAGCACAGTGAACAATGCCCCCCCCTCCCGCCCCCCTTTTATCCTCCTCACTCTGTGGCGCTGGACGGTCCCGCGTGACCACGAGCAGCGCAGCGGTGCCGAACCGCACGCGACGGACTGTCGTTAAACCTCTTCTTGTTTTGTATTCCCTTTTTATTCTTTTCCTTTCCTCCGGGCCGCTCCGCTGGCGCTGTGCCGCCGCCCTCTGGTCATTTCTCTCAGGTGTTCTGTTCTTCGTGTGAGCCGTCTTCTCTTCTTCGTGGATGTCAGGTGCTTGTAAAAAAACTATGAGCCTTCTCAGTTACAAAAAAGAAAAAGGAAAAAAAAAGCTTCAGTTCATAAGAAAATGTCCGTAGTTTCTATATATATTTAATAATTCTCATAACAATAAAACCTAGATGGCTGTTTATATTTTATTTTTTCCTACATAGTATATTAGGAGCTCCTCTCAGAGTGAGATACACGTCTTATCTGTATAACTGCTCTGTTCGCAGCTGGTTTTTCTTCTTCTTTTTCCATCAGCTGTGAAGATTGTTGCGGTGCAGCCGGATCAAATGCAAACAGCGGCTCCCGAGAGCGGCTCTCCGCACTCGGCTTAGCTTGGCGCCAACTTCTCATCCGTCTAGTTCCTTCGTTCTAAAACGACAAAAAACACATCCTTTCGCATGTGCCGGTAGTGAGTGAGCGTCGGTGGCTCAAACAACGGTCAGGTGGTTTATTACGTGTTTGGAGTCTTTTTTTTATTTTTTATTCCCGCTGTCCTTCGTGGGGTCCCAACGGGGGGGCCGCAGTTGGTCTGCTCGTCAGACGGGGGGCCGGTGGGTGTGGAGAGGTCGATCGGCAGCCTTTTCTTCTCACAGTGCCTTCTGCAGTCCGCGGGAACATTTCGCTCAACCTGCGAATCGAGTAGCAGCATCGACTTAAACGCCACACAAAAAAAACCCCCAACCCTATAATAATCGCACCATTCGTTACCAAGAAAGAAAGGAGCGCCCCGCTCGGCCTCCCTCCCCCACGCCGCGTTGAAGCTACAGAGCCCCGCCCCCGATGACGCACTTCCTGGTAACACTTGAAAAGAAGATCGTAACACAGCATCAAAAACAATAGAATAGAAATCCGTGATGCTGTCTGTCTGTCAGGGGGGGGGGGGGGGCAGGAATGACCCTCTCTTTTGATTGTCCATTACGCTCCCCCACCGGCCGCCCCATTCGTTGATTTGTACCATTTGCCCCCCCCCCCACACACCTAAAAAGACCACCGTGATCTGCTTTCTTCTTCCTTCGCCTGCAGAACCTCTTGTCAGTGTTTCAACTGAATGTGCAAATTGTAAATAATAACGATGATACTACTGCAGCCACGCCGTTCATGTCTGTCTGGAGGAGCAACGTTCCTCGCCGAGGGGGGAGGGGGGGGGGGGGGGGGGGGGGGCTGTGATGGAGGCGACTCGTCCTCTGCTGGTGGCCGTTGTTCTTCTTGGAATGGCTTTAATATTTGCTTCTTCGGAGCGCTCTTTTCTTTTCTTTCTGTCTTTCTCGTTGAAAAGAATGACGTGTCCTTTTGGTACACGTCTCATACTAAACCGCTCCATCTGATATTGTACATATAATGTACTTTTATTTTATCTTTTAACTTTCAAATGGTAGGTTTCATATTTTGTACCAACCCCCCCTGCAGACAGTTGACACGTGGCAATTTACATTCAGAGACCGTCGAGCATTTGGATCGTTTTTTATCTATTTGTAATCCGACATCTTTTCCGTTTCTGTTTGTTCACCTTTCAAACATGTGTTGAGACTCTACATACATGAGCTTTTTTTTCTTTCTTGTGTGCTTTTATCCGAATCTCCAGTGGTGTACATCTATATACTGCAAATAAAGAGAACATGTGAGTTTTATATTTTCATCCTAACAAAAGGTTCTGCGAGTCGTCATTGGTCGGATTCACGTTGGCGTCACTCAGACTCGACTCCGCCTCCTTATGCGTTGTTTCACTCCACCTTTTGCCCGGGAAGTAAGAGCGGGAACGATATATATCACACACGTCGTGTTACATGCAAGCGGCTTGATTGAATTTTTAGTTCTGGCACAAGCGTTTTTAAATTAAATGATATTTTAAATTAAATGCCAACCAGAAATCAAGTTTATTCGTTCTAAACATACACGATACTTGTGACCGCTGTTGGGTTCCATTTAATTTAAATGGAAATCTGCTCTTTCAGCCAGCCGACCAGCAGGGGGCAGCAAACGCTCAACATCTTTTTATCCTTTATTGTGTTTGCTAACTTGTTTACTTCTGCACTAGAAGAGTTGTACTGAATCCGGGCGTTGTGTCTTTCTCTCTCTTACTTTGGCGTCTCCTTTTTAAAAAAATATGTCCTTTGTGGCAGCTTTTGTTTGAAATCCCTCCGTTCTTATGTTGTCGCGTAATGACACACAACCGGAGACCCAGTGGCTGAGATGTCGTTGGTTCTTCTGCTGTGATTCTAAACACACGCGGCTGAAACACTTCTACGGTTAAAGGAGATGAACCTTTAATGTGGCAGCAGACGGCTGTGTAGATGTATAGAGGAGGAACGTCTGAGTGGATCATTGGGATATTTTGTCCTTCTGTTGTCAGAGATGTCTTCTTCTCAAATGCATCAGCTGATGTCAGCAATTATTCATTATTTTTTTACCAAAGGACATTTTCTACTTCATTTTGTATTTATATTTATTTATAACGCACTCGTACTTGTTCTGAATACAATCCAGTTGATCCACATGTGTAAAATATTTAACACACCCAACATAGTCCGAACCGCTCTGGAAGCACAACGCATTTCCTTCCTTATCTCGTCATCTTCAGCTAACAAAGCTTGTTTTTCCCCAAATCCACAAACCGTTTGTCACATCCTTTTTTTTTATATTTACAGTATAATTGGAACACGGCGTTATGAAGCTGTTGCTAGGCGCTGCCATTCACATTTTGCCCTCGAGTTCGTCTCCTGACGTCACTAAACTCATTCACTCCCCCCCCCCCAGACGCTCATGCACGTATTTTGCCGTTAAAACACTTGAATAAATATCGTATGAATCAGGAAACATTTATTGCCATAACATGACACAGACAGACAGACATGCAAGGAATTGACTTTGCGGTTGGTGTGTAACAATGGACGACGCGCCACCCTCCCTTGCTGGTCTGTGAGCCTCCTCCTCTGAACTTGTTGTGCTGCATATTGGATATCCGATGGACCCCCCCCCCCCCCCCGGGGGATTTCTCAAAACTTTGTTTTTCGGGGCCAACATAAATTCCTGGATAGCCGCGAGGCGAGGGAAAGCTTGAGCGTCACCGCACTAACGAGCTGTGCGTCCCACAAAGAAATAAAAACCGTTCGCCTCGTCTTCAACGCGTTGGGCCCCAATAATCGGAGAGCAAATGATTCTAAGACCAAAACACACCAGTGTCTTTTCTCCCAGACGAGGTCACTCGGGTTCACCTGCCGTCGAAACCTGCGGTCGAAACCTGTCAGGAGACACGTCTTACCATAAAATGTCAGACATACAAGGAATTTGACTTGGCGGTTGGTGCGTGACAGCAGACGGTACGACAATAGACGACAACACCGTGCAGGAGGAATCAAATGTAATAAAATATCGCCATGGAAACAGAGCTAAAAAGGTTTGGAACGTCGACCACTTTTGTGACCACATCCAATCAGGACATCACATTACTCTGAAGAGGTGCGCGTGTGCGTGCGCGTGTGCGCTGTGAGCCAGAAAGTGACTCATCACACCACCTCCGGGGTCTCGCCTCCTCCTGAGCTCCTCTGGATGACAACGAGTCGCTCCGGCCACTTCTTCCAGGTGTCCCGGTTCCTTCGACGCTCCTCTCTCGGCCTTCAGAACTTGGAATGGGGTCCGGAGGGAAGCCCCAGGACCCCACCTGAGGCACCCGGGGCGAAGACCGCTCAGTAGGTCACACAAAACACGGCGCAGGGGTGACTTTCCACGACCTGCAGGACGTCATCTGGAGCTGGAGTCTCTGCGACCACTCGGCTGATCACAGACGTGAAGGCTGTGCAGCGACACACGTGCATTTGGGAGATAAAACTCTGTAACCTCCTGAGCGATAATCAGCCTGAGTCCCTCCTCGCTGTCACTGTCTGGAACACACACGCACACACACACGCACACAGACACGCACACAAGGCTCTATTATCTCCCGGTATCTGGGGCAGCTGGGGGACGTGCCCGTAAAGCCTCGGTCTGCACAAAGGGGACGCAGGTAGCTGCTTGGTCATTATGTGCAGAGGCCCCCCCCCGACCGCCTGGACGGGATCGCCGCACGCCGGCGCGCGTGAGGTCAGAGTGCCGCTGAGCGAGGCGCCGCGCGGCCACCGCCGAGGAAGCTAACGGGCCGAGGCCTTTCACACCCCTTGGCTCTTTTTCCACTACAGATATGCAAAATGTGGTAAGAGAACACCGAGCCAGTTGGAGCCTCTTCTGCTGGAGCTAATTGAAATGTTGCACTGGAAGCTGAGTGGGATCAAGCTGATTTAGGGCTCCAGGGAGGCTCCTACACACACACACACACACACACACACACACACACACAATGCAGGCCTGGGGGAGATTATCTGCTGAATGTTCACCCTCAGTGTCAGGAGACGGGATATGGATTGTGTCCCAGTTGCTGCCTGAACCAAAACGATTCAAGCTTTGTTAGAGCTTGTTGTCTCAGGTTTTATGCGCCTTGCGACCGGAGGTCGACGTCGACGTGGGTCCGAGAGAGAGCAGCAGTTTCCACAGCGCCGACCTTCCTTCACATCCCAAGAGGAGGGGCCCTTAAACAGACGAAGGCGTGCACCGAGTCCCCCGGCGGACGCAATGGGCCGCGCGTACGGGGTTTGGATGCGCGAGAAGCAGAGTTCCTCTGCAGAAGAACGCGACGGAGGCACGTGAAGGGCCGCGGTTTGGGAGGAGAAGATGGCGATTATTTGGTTTCTTCTTCCTCGTCCCACAGCGACCAGGTGAAACCCTCAGTTCCACGTGGATCTCTCTCCTCTACGCACATAAAGGTCAAGACGACTATGCCAATAATTAGACGAATGATGAGCGCTGACGTAAAGTTCCCACAAGAACACATTTGAAAAGATCCCTGACGCGCGCTGAGGGGCCACATCCGTCATGGAGAGGCCTCTTCGGAGGAATGGTAGGTAATTAGCGTGAGAAGAACAGGCAGAAGCTGCTTCGATGCAGACAATGATGTAGGGATGGAAACCATATGAATCATTCAGCTTCTTTTTCTTCTCTCTTTTGGAAAAAATAAATTGTCTGTCTGGCAGCGAGTCACTTCAGCACGGCGTGTGTATCCCGGTCGCCGCGGCAACGCGGTTGCTACGTGATCAATTTATCTGGAGATCTGGCCGTTGCAGATGTCGCCGGGGGACCGGCTATCCATAACAAAGCCTCGGTCAGATTTCCCAAAGTAAAGCCCCCCCCAGAGATATACTTTCATAAAAGTACATCTCTGTGTGGGGAATCCGTCACCGTGTGTCTCGTCCTCCCCTCCTGGTGAAAAACACCGGGCCGAGGGCACAGAGTTTCAGTTTGGTTTTCATTATCTCGGACGTCAAGAGGCCTGTCAAGTGCACCATGACGTACCCGGCCCCCTGGCCTCCCACCTCGCCCCCACCCCCCCCGCCTCCCTCCTCGGGGCCTCAATGCGGCGCGGTGCCGGGTCGCCCCTGGGTGACGCAGGTCTCTGCCCCTCTGACGCGTGGAGCCGCGCCGGGTGGGAATAGCACCCACCTGCTTGAGGAAAACCTGCTCCTCTGTATTCACCTGCATGTGGAGACTCTCATTCTGGGAAGCGTTAACTTAATCCGGACCGTCTGTGCCGAGCCGGTTTGTTCGTTTTTATTTGCCATTCTTTGCAAAAGGGAGAGACCTGAATACCTGGTAGCTGAATACCAGCTAATGTTCCCAGCTTAAAAACAACAAGGGGGTAAAGCTGTAAGACGGGTGCAGCGTGTCTATCACAAGGTCGTCTTAAATCATTCCTTTTATCAGCTATTTTAACTGGGCCGTAATTTAATAAATTAACATCATGTTGGATTGAAGAAGACTGAAATTAGAGATTAAGACCATAAACGCATGTTTATAATGTTCACTCTTGCATTGAATTAACTGAAAAGCAGTATTGTTTTTTCATTGACTTCAATACAAACGGACTTATTTTTGCAACCAGAGAATGTGCCCCCTGCTGGTCAGTCGACAGAATGCAAGTTAAGTCACCTGGAAATAACTTTTTGGACAAAGAAATAAGGAAACATTTCTCAAATGAATGAAAGAACAAATGCCCACTGTAGGATTGTTAATGTTGCAGGTTTGACTGCAGCTCCTTTGAATCCTCTCATTGTATCTTCTTCTTCTGCAAAGACAGAATGGTGGTAAAATAATTGCCACTATCTATTTATTCCCAATTCCTAATAGATGTATAAGAAAATAGTAGATCGGAAAGATCATTAATATATTTCATTCATTTGCAGTTTTTATTTTTTAATAGTTTACCATTTGCCCGATTCTGTGTTGAAGCGTTACAGCGTCATCGTCTTGTTGCTATCTGGTCTGTACATTTATGATATTTAACACGTAGGAAAATCTTTCTCCCGGGTCTCTCGTGCGTTTTCACATCGAGCACTTTGGTCAGAACATTTTCCACTGAAATGGATTTGACTCTGATCCAAATGCGTGAGCGCTGCGCTCCCTCGGGCACCCGAGAGACGTTAAGCTGAAGAAACGCCCCTTCGTCTCCCTTCTCATTCTATAAGATTTGCATAAAGCAGCGAGGAAGACGCTGGGTGAGTTCAAACCCTTGGGAATGAGTTGGAATCGAAGGTGGTGATCGAACTGCCTGTCACCCGAAGCTTCGGGTGACAGGCAGTTCGATCCACACCAAAGAAAACATTGAGATGATGGAACGTGTTCAAAGAGAATCACGCAAATGTAAACTTTAAATTGGACTGTCATTTACTCAATGAACAAGCCTGGTCAGTGTTTACTGAGGTAATGGATGAAGTCATTTTTTCATTGACTTCTACTCAATCTGTATCCTCTTTCCAACCATTAGAATGCCAGTTTAAGGCACTTTTCACCTTGGAGACTTGGAGGCTGAAGCCTGATCTGGAGTCAGCTGCAGGCGCCGTGCAGACGTCTAACTAGATCTAAATCAACATCATCTGTCACTGTCACCGGTGCTTCTGTTGAAAATATGTGTTCATCTCAAACACTTCCATCCAAAAAAGACAAACCAAAAAAAAAATCTTTTCTGATTAACCGCGTCGCCCGGCACGAAACAGCTTCACACATTAAGCGTTATTCATTCTTCTTCCTTTTCTTACATATTTCTTGGCGCGAGGTGAGTTATTGATCAGCTTTAGGGTCACGATACTCTGCTGTGGATCGCTCACCTGAATGGGCCTGATTATATGAGTGAAAGAGTCAGAGGAGGCCGGTGCCAAAGATAGAAAAAAGCCAACACAAACACCGATGTGAGGACAGATTCTGCCTTTAAACCCATCGATCAGATGTGACGTCATCAGACGTCGGAGTAAGTTTTGAGAGCGCGTCCTGACGAAACAATAAGCGGTAAAAAAAACACCAGTGTGATCTTGTGTTTATTAAACACATTTGTTCAGTTACATCGTTTCAACGCGTTACATGTTTGGCAGTCGATCACGGAGGAAAGCATCGTGCGCACGTGGACCCATCGGCGGTGTCGGAAACATCAGTGTCGGTTTTCTGGCTTCACCTTTTAAAAACCGAACTTCACACAAACACCGGAGTGGGCCTGAACGCACGCGCACACACGCACACCCACACACACACACGCGCGCACACCAGTATTGTAGAAAAATAGAGTGATTACTGATCGGATCCAGTTTCACCTGATTCAAGACCTTTCCATTAAAAAAAACAACAATAAAACAATCGATTAAGGTGAAGACAAGCAACAACACACCTGCCCACATTTATGCTGGAACACCACTTTAAGCTATTTGTCAAAGAGTCCTGAATATCTTTTACGCGAGCGGAACAACATCGCGCACCACGTGCGCACATTTGATAGCAGCATCGGAACATTCCGCCCCGTCAGTTTGGACACTTGCGCGCGGCGGCCCGCGCAGCATCTCCCGCTACACGTGGAGCACCGCTGTTTGGGAACGCGCCAGCTCGCTCCTGTATTCGTCCAGCCAGGCGCGAAGCTCGGAAATCCGGTATCCCTCGGGCCCTCGGCCCCCCTGGTACACCACCCTCTCGTCCCGCACGACGTAAAGCCTCTCGAAGTAGGCTCCGTACGCGGCGCTGGACGAGTTGTCCATATTATCCACCACCACGTCGCTGCCGGGCACCTCGGCGAGCATCAGCCGCGCGGCTCGGAGTCTGTCCTCCAGGCAGCGGTGCTTGGGGATCTGGTACGGCGCGTCCGAGCTCACCCAGCCGTCCGACGGATGCGCCTCCTCGATATATACAAGTAAAAAGTCCGCAATGTCCGCGTACTGGCTCACGACGCGCTGGAAAGCCGCGAGACGCGTCATGAAAGGCGGTCAGGAGCAGCTGCCGAAGTTAAGGATGAGCGGCCGCTTCCCTTTCGTGCAGTCCAGGATCGGGACCCGCCGCCGCTGCTGGACCAGCATCACCTCGGTGTTGGGCGCCGCGCGCCCGAGGTGCGCGGCTTTGAGGCAGTCCAATTTCTGTCCGTACCACACGGCCCTGAGGGACTCCAAGGTGAACATCCTGTTGGAGTCGGAGACGCACAGCGGCGGGTCGTCGGGGCTGTCCTGCCGCTCGCCCATTTTCAGCAGCACTTTCCTGATACACAAGAAATCCAGGAGCCACAGCATGACGGCGGCCAGGAGGAACCGGGGCAGCAGCATCAGGCACAGCGCGGCGTGCTTCAGCGCCCTCGCCGTCCGGACGCCGCCGCCGGAGTCGTGCATCATGTCGTCCTCTTGGCGACAGGATGCGACCGGGCCGGCAGGAGAGGCAACAAGTACTTAGTCCCCTTTAGTCATTGGAGAAAACTATTTAGCGCACGCAGGCACTCTTTTTATAGGTAGGGGAGCATTTGAATAATGTGTGTGTGTGTGTGGTGGGGGGGGGGGGGAGAAACAGAAAGAACACACACAAAAAAATCCCAAAACACGCCCACTCACATGGTGGGGATCACCTCCCGACCACTGCGGGCTGCAGGGGTATGGCGTTATATTTGTGCCACAATCCTGAGCGCGTAATTTTAAGGTCCGCTCCTTTAGCGCACGTGTGGCCGCGCCGCCGAGCGGTGTTTTGTTGTTTTTGGACGCCCTTTGTGAGGTACTTGGTTTCGTTCTGATTACCGGTGGCTAAACGAAAGGTCGGTCGTCAAAAGTCAGGGGGGGGGGGGAGTAAAGGAAAAGTGCGCCCTTGCGCGGTGCGCCGGAGCCTCCGGGGCCACCAGACGGCGCTGGGCTCAAGCGCACCGCCGGGGCTCGTGTGCCGATGACTCATGGCGCCCGGGGCCCCTGCGCGCCTTGGAGAGGAATACGAGGCAGCGCAGAAACTGCCACCGGCGGCTTCACCAGTCAAAGGAGAGCCGGTAGATCCAGGTCGTCTAATCCCGCCCCCGGTAAAGACGTGAACACGTGGTGCGGAGTGCAGCTCGTTTACTTACCATCCAGCAGGTTGTGTCCCGTGGTCCACGGGGCCAAATCAAAACAAAAATCAGCCTTTTTTCAGCATGGATTATATTTCCAATCTAATCTAATTCAAGGTTTTCAAGACCGTTCTTGAAAGTTTCATTAATTTGAGATTCTTTTAAGAGATTTCCCGATCTCTATGTGGTAAATGCTTAATTTGTAAATATCCTCATTTTATTTTTATTTATTTTTTTTTGTTTTGTTTTGTACAGATTGTTTTCCTGGACCGTATCTGTCAAATAAAAAAGAGAGTTTAAAAAGCAAGTGATGTGAATGTCAGTTTCGTCTTTTCATTAAGTTGCCAAGCAACCGGCAGGGACTCAGGAAATTTGGTCCGACACTCTAATTCTATCTTATTAACACTTTAGACTATTTATATGAATCAAACAAATAAAAATACCAAATAGTGTGTCGTTTTTTTTGCTTTAAATGTGCTGTATTTCCGTTATTTCTGTTCCCCTGTTTCTACTCTTTGTGCTAAGCTAATTTGTTGTTGGCTGTAAATCTTTTTTAACAGATTGATCATGATTTCAACCTCTTTATTTAGAAGAAGAACTGAATATCTGTTTGAATAATTTACTTCAAAATAAAACCCAAACGCCGAAAGCCCAAATCTTCAACCAGGATGTCGGTCTGTAAACTATATCTTAGAAAACGCATCTGTTTCTTCCTCACAAATGGGTTTCATCTGCAGGGTTTTCTCGGAAACTCTCCCCACTTAACGTCTTTTCGGTGATGTCACCGCCATCTCTCACGGTACGTCCATTGGAACCGACGCAGAACCAAACGCCAAACCCAACGAGGTAAGATTCAATTTCCGACGGCACCCAAATTACGCGCGGCGGCCTCGGGTCTTCTTGTTGTTGTTGTCCAAAGACGACCGCAGATAACACGGAGAGAAAAAACAGATCTGGTCACCAACCAGATGTGCACACGCGGAGCCTCTGCTTTTGCACACACATCTGCAGGTAGGAAGTTGCTTTGTTTCTGAAACAAAGCAATAGGGCCGCCAGGCGCCTCAAAAGGCCACTAAAGGGACACTTGAAGGGAGACGTGTAATCAGAATGGAAACCCTCTGGTTTGGCCCCAAGACATAAAAAAATAAGAAATCGATAATGTGAGCAAAACGGAGCTCTACTGAACATACTGAAGATTAGATTTGTAGATCAGATGTGGTTTAACCGCCCTTTGGACACTGATGTCTTGGCGAGCATCGCATGGACAAACGTTTCTCCCTCACGTGATCTTCACGTCGAGCAAATCGAAACTGCACTTTGGTCAGAACGTTTTCCGCTCAAATGGACGTGACTCAGATCCAAACGTGTGCGCGGAGAGACGAAGACACACCCGTCTCATTCTCACCCCATCATGCGTGTACCTCAGCTTGGCACTGAGCAGTGAGAACGAGGCCGGATCAGAGTCAGAATGACAAACTAAACCTGCAGATGAACTGGTTCTTATCTGATATCATAGCGTGCTGCAGATTCATTTGGCCTTCAGAGTCACTGAAATGTTGCCAGATGCATTCATGCCAGAGGTGAGAACCGCCACCCATCAAGCACAAAGGGCGTCAGACGTTCGCCCGAGGTGGAGAAACCGCTCGGGGCTTCCTGTTAATTTGGTTTTCTCCAAGCCGAGTCTGTCAAACTGCCGCTCGTGAGGTCACCGCGGACGTGAACTCATTAACTCAAGCAAAGATTCCCAACGTACGAACGCTCAACACGTAGGTCCCAGCTCCTCAAAGGACCTCGTCCACACACACACACACACACACACACACACACACATACACGATGAATAAGACGCTGGCTTAGTTCAACATCCCAGATTATGCTGGCAAGGTGCTCTGTCCTTCCTCCACCTTCACACCTTCAGCCGCCGCAACCTTTGATCCACCAGCTTTAAGTTGTTGTTTTTTTCCCCTCCCACCTACATTCAACACAACAAACAAATGAACCGTTTCAAAAATCTAAAATCTAAAGGCACACTGTTCTTTTGTGTCTCATTACGGGTTTCTTGGATCGCTGTCACCGCATTATTTCCTAGAATAATCATAATCTGTTTGTTTTTTTCTTTCTCATGAAGCCGTTTCCATTGTGTAAAAACCTCTTTCTCTGGACGCCACAATCCCACTAAGGCCACTTTTCGCACAACGCAACCCGCTGGACAAGAATGGCCCAACGAAACACTGGCAGCCGGAGCCTTGATTCCCTCTTATTTATTTATTTTCTCTCAAAAGAATTTTTTGTTTTTTTCAAACAAACTGCTTGAACCGTAACTTTCATCAGGCCCGGCCTGGATCTTGGCACGGCGGCGCGGGTCATACGAGAACATCAGCGAGCAGGAAAAAAACAGGCTGCAGGAAAGCACCGCGGGCGGCAGCGATCCAGCCGAGCCGCCCTTTATACGCCAGCCACCACGTTGAATACACACCCCTCAGGTAGAACACACACACACACACACACACACACACACACACACATTCCTGTAATTCTATGTTTGTGTTGACACTCATGGGAGCAGCAATGCATTCCCTGGTCCATTACGTCAAAAGGCTCCACACCCCCCGCCACCCCTCTAACTAACCCCAACCACAACCTCATCGTAACCAGACGCTGAACGCCAAGTCAACGCACTCCAAAAATGCTTTTGAAGAAGTGAGGCCTGTCAAAAAGGACGCCACGCCCAAGAAACGTCTTTCACAAGAAAGCGGCGATCCTGCTCGCTGTTTCACTCATGAATGTTTTCACAAAGGACACCAACATTATGCAGCAAAAAAGAGCCACAATACTGGGCCCCACGGCCCCCGAAGCAGGACGTCAGACCAAAGACAGGACGTCTTTCAACCTAGACGGGTCTGTTCGCGCTGACCTTTCACAATAAAAGCCCCGGGTAGTTGTTCTTCTGCATGCGCAAACCAAAAAGTGTTACAAATGTCGTGGAATTCCCATTGCTGCCGGTGTGAAACCGATGTGAAGTAATTTGGGAGTAATTTTAAATGTTGAATCCTTTATTCTAACATTGTCTCTTGAAATATTGTAAGCACACTTACTTGGGCCACTTTAGGGATCCTACACACACACACACACACACACACACACACGTTCATACACAGTTTTAGGGCTGTTTGTATTGACGTTGTCTCATTTCGTGTCGGCTACCATGTTGTGTGAAGTCCAAGGTTGGGTAAGGTTGCAATAAAAAGCACTAAATAGAAAACAGCCCTGTCCCTCATGCTCGGCGGGCATTTGAGCAGGTTTTGTAGTTACTAAGCAACCGTCACGTAGACCCTCTGAGGCTGATCCGTCCAGGCCGCGCCGAGCCCTCCATGCACGCTCATTCATCACCTTGGTTCACCAGCGTCTTTTGTCCAAAGGAGCAACGCTGATGCACCAAACTGCAGATCTTCAGAGAGGCCGGCGGCACGCAGCCTCGGCCGTTTGGCCCTGAAAAAGGAATAATCTGTCGTATTGATGAAGATGGGGACCCTTGCTGGGGTTTATCAGTCGGGCCTCTTTGCACTCTCCAGGCAGAAGCGCGTCGGCCGAGATCTGATGAGGTGATGCCGCGAACGAGTATCCTCAAATGTCACCGCACAGCAGATTCCCCGCTAATCACGGCAATGCGATTCAGGAATTTCCCATTCCCCCCCCCCCCCCCCCCCCCCCCCCCCCCCTACCGGCACCATTTACAACGCCATGCACTACTTTGTACTACGCCGTGGTGCTTCGTCTGGCAGTCTGTGATTCATGGAGAGCCCGTTCTCCCACACACACCTTGCATGTGCTCAGAAAAGCTGCGAGGGCGTGATTTCTTTCTATCGGGCTCATTCGGGCGTTCAAACCCAGCGATGGAAACGCCTTCGAGGAATACACAGACTTTTGACCACCTTGACCTGATCAACTGTCTCCCATAATGAGTCAACGCGAGTCTTTGTCTCCGGACACGATGGAACGCGGCCAAGAAAACAGTTGCAAACTTGCACAACTGAAACAAACGATGAGTCAGCCGCGCCGACTCCGTTTACTTAGGGTTTACCGTCGCCTAAGGCAAGAAAACCGACTTCTCACCAAACAGCCGCGTAGCCGAGTTCACTGAGAAAATAATTCACGTTCATTCTTATTTTTGACATTTTACAAGCGTTCGATTGTTTTTTTTTGACGGTGGAAAGACAATGGTCAAAACACACTTTATTACCTTTATTATTCGTCGGGCTGCAGCCAGCAACGAACTAGCTTAGCTTAGCCACGATCCTTGAGACACGGTAGCAGATAGTCAAGCCCAGTCAGCGGTTACAAAAACAGATTACACGGTGGTTTAATCTCGCCGCCGCGAGGTTGACAGACAATAAAGAAAGTGAATAAATAGTTTGACCCTGAGCCTCGCCAGCAGA